AGAGGATAGAATGGATATTTACTACTTGTTTTCTTAAATGCCGAAGTTTTTACATGGAATAACACCCCGGTTGATATTTCAAGTTATTTTTTCCCTCCCCTGGATAACGGCATCTAATAATACTATCACCCCTGCCTACTGGGGTTCTTCCTACTGCAGGAGAGTGCCATAGTGATTTTCCCTTCAGATACTAAACTAGCACTTAGGACATGGCAGGCATGAAGTAGTGATTAGCTGGCTGTGTATGTTATAATTCATTATTAGCTGCTAGGTGCCATCTCTGAGGGTTGATGGAGTTGTTAATTCTTCCTAAGGGTTGTGGAGGAAGTAGTGATTGCCAGCAGTGGATCTGTGTCACTGTCACGCCACCTGAGTTCCCTTGCTGGTGGGTTTGGAGCACATTCTTCTCCTGCTCCCCTGGAGCGCCTGCTGTGCGCCTGATGAGCTTAGAGATGCTGCCAGCCCAGCCCTGCAACTTACACATCTGGTTTGTTCCCAGGTTCTGAGAGATTGAGTTAGTACACAAGCCATGTGTGTTTACAAATTTTTTTTCCCTGCTCAGGTGTTTGAATAAATAGTTGAAGTGAAACTATTAAGTCTGTTGTCTCAGCTTTGCCAGTTATTACATATATAATAAATCTCTCTTCTCTCTGGTCTCTATTCTTAGTGCTGTCATTCTGGCCCATTCTTTCTTTTTTATCTACCATGTGAAATACAGTATTTCCTAGTGGCTTTATTCTGTGTTCTTTTGTTGGTAACCTATAGTGCTAAGATCATAAAACACACTTAGTATCTCGCCAAAAAGCAAAACTCGTTCAGGTTTTCTGATTACATTGTTCTAGCTAGTAGGTTGATTTTTTTGCTTGTTTAAGATTTTTTTGAAAGAGTAAAAGAGAAATGGAGGGAAACACTTGAGATTTTGCATCTGCTGGTTCACTCCCCAAATGGCTACAGTTATCGGAGCTGGGCTGAAGCCAGGAGTTTCTTCTGGGTCTCCCAGTTGGGTGCAGGGGCCCAAAGACTTGAACCATCTGCTGCTTTTCCAGGCACAGATTCTTAAGTAGAGCAGCCAGAACTTCAACTGGCCCCCATATGGTAACCCAGTGCAGGTTTTACCCACTGTGCCAGTAGCTAGTGCTCTCTATCTTTGCTCCATTATTCCCCATAACTAAGATGCCTAACCGGGGCTGGTGTTGTGATAAAGCTGGTAAAGCTACTGGCTGTAATACCAGATGGTCCAGGTGTTGATACATAGAGGCCCAACTCTATGCTAATGGCCAGGGAAAAGTAGCAGAAGATAATCCAAGTATTGAGTCCCTATTACCCATAGCTGAAGCTCCTGGCTTCTGCCTGGCCCAGCCTCTGCCCTGACCATTGCAGCCATCTGAGAAATGAACCAATGGATGAAAGATTTTCTCTGTCTCTAACTCTGACTTTCAAATAAAATAAATGGGGGGGAGGAGGGGAACCTAACCTTACAGTGGGAGCAGTGAGGTAAGTTACTGCTTGGGGTATCCTGCTGTACTGCAGTGACAAGTTTGAGTCCTGGTTTAAAGATATATATATATATTTTTTATTGGAAAGACAGAATTACATAGAGAAAGATCTTCCATCTGTTATTTTATTTCCCAAATATCCACAACAGCTGAAACTGTGCTGACCTGAAGCCAGGAGCTTCCTGTGGATATACACTGCAGGTTCAGAGTGTCAGTGTCTTGCATTGTGTACCATCCGCCACTGCTTTCTGAAGCCACAAGCAGGGAGCTGGGTGGGAATTGAAGTAGCTTGGACAACCAGCGGCCATATGGGATCCTGGCTTTTGCGAAGGAAGGATTAGTCAATTGAGCCACTGCAGCAGGACTTACTATGTTTCTTTCACCATTTCTTTATTTAATTTGAAAGGCAGATTTACAGAGAGAAGGAAAGATAGATCTTTGGTGTGCCCATGGATGGTGGGTGATTCTATTTATCCCAACCCCAAGTCTCCCACGTGGGTGGGTGCCTTGGCCTGAACCACACATGCCCTCCAATTTTCCCCCTCTAAACCACTCCCATCTTAACTTTGCCAACCTGTGAGTGCAGTGGCCCGGTCCATGGAGGACTCCAGAAATTATTCCTTCCCTGTCAAACATAACACTTAACTGCTCCTACTGCAATACATCTCCAGACCTGTTCCCTTGAGAGGCTGCAGCACTCGCCCTGACCCCCTGATGTGTCCCTGCCTTCCCTACATATCTTTTTTTTTTAATGATTTTTTATTTTTATTACAAAGTCAGATATACAGAGAGGAGGAGAGACAGAAAGATCTTCCGTCCGATGATTCACTCCCTAAGTGACCGCAACGGTCGGTGCTATGCCAATCCAAAGCCAAGAGCCAGGAACTTCTTCCAGGTCTCCCACACAGGTGCAGAGTCCCAAAGCTTTGGGCCGTCCTCGGACTGCTTTCCCAGGCCACAAGCAGAGAGCTGGATGGGAAGTGGAGCTACCGGGCTTAGAACCAGCGCCCATATGGGATCCTGGCGCGTTCTAGGCAAGGACTTTAGCCACTAGGCCACGCCACCGGGCCCTCCCTACATATCTTAACAAATAATAAAAACAGAATAAAATAGGCAATTGTGCTGGCACACTGGTACAATTAACGCAAATTTGGCATTAACCAGGCCCAGAAGGCATGCCAGCCTTGACTGCCTTTCTGCTAGCAGTTCAACAGTTCCCTAGGTACATGGCAACCTAGGGAGTTGCCTACAGCTCAGGCTAAAGTTTAAAATAATTTGGATAGGACTCCTGAAAACTCTGCAGAACATAAGCTCTTCAATAACCTTGATTTTTTTTTTTTTAAGATTTATTTGATTTTTATTGGAAAGGCGGATATGCAGAGAGGAGAGACAGAGAGGAAGATCTTCCGTCTGATGATTCACTCCCCAAGTGAGCGCAATGGCCAATGCTATGCCAATCCGAAGCCAGGAGCCTCTGTGGCTCTCCCGCGCGAGTGCAGGGTCCCAAGGCTTTTGGCCGTCCTCGACTGCCTTCCCAGGCCACAGGCAGGGAGCTGGAAGGGAAGCGGGGCTGCCGGGATTAGATCCTGGGCGTGCAAGGTGAGGACTTTAACCACTGCACCACCGTGCTGCGCCCTGATTTGTTTTTTTGTTTTGGGTTGTTTTTTTAATTTGAAAGGTTCAGTGTCAGAGAAGAGACAGATCTTCCATGTGCTGATTCATTCCCCAAACAGCTGCAATAGCTCTGTTTGGCCAGACTGAAATCAAGAGCCCAGAACTCCAGCTAGGTACACCAGTAAGGAACTAGATCAGAAGCGAGTAGCCAGAACTCAAACGGGGCTCCAGGATGGGATGCAAGGGTCGCAGGTGTCAGCTTCACCCCTTGCCATGATGCCAGCCCCAAACTTTGTTTCAATTTTTAGGGTAAAATTCCCAAGTCATTTAGTCATTCATCACTTGATAAAATAAATTGAAGCTGTTAGTAACGAAATAGATGCTCAAGTTTCTGTTTGGTTTATGCTGTGAGGAGATCCCTCTGGAACCCATTGACTTTTACAAAGGTGGTGCACAGCTGGTGTTAGCTGTATACTGATGAATGTATTCTACCCCCTTTTGCACAGACAGAGTGCCTGTGGGACTGTTAAGACTTTGTGGGCAAAGGAGCAGGTGTTGCTGTTGGTCCTCTGGGAAAAGTGCGCTATGTGTTTATCTGTTCTCATGGCCAGGTGAATTCTGAGTGTGTAACAGGCTTGCCACCTTAAATACTTCATGGTAATGCTGTGTGGACTCAGTGAGAAGGAAAAAGGTCATCCATGAAATGCTGAGGTACATGTTTATATCAAACGAATGCCTCTGGGCTCATTCTACCAACATTCTCAAACTGGATTTCTGGTCAGAGTCTGTTAAAAAATGAACAAACAAAAACAAAAAATGATAATGTTTCTTACAGAGTTAATATTGTACTTGCAACCTTTGAAAGATTTTAGTCAAAAATCTGTTTGAAAAGAGCAACAGAAATATTTTTGAGCCACTGATTGAGTCTCCATATGGGCACACAGCCAGGACTGGACCATAGTGAAGCCAAGGATTCAAAACCTTACATCAGGGCCTGGCATGATAGCATAGTGGTTAAAGTCCTCGCCTTGAGTATGCCAGGATCCCATATGGGCACTAGTTCTAATCCTGGTGGCCCCACTTCCCATCCAGCTCCCTCCTCATGGCCTGGGAATGCAGTTGAGGATGGCCCAAAGCTTTGGGACCCTGCGCCGGTGTGGGATACCCGGAAGAGGCTCCTGGCTTTGGATTGGCACAGCACCAGCCGTTGCGCTCACTTGGGGAATGAAGCATCAGACGGAAGATCTTCCTCTCTGTCTCCTCCTTTCTGTATATCTGACTTTGCAATAAAAAATAAAATCTTAAAAAAAAAAAAAAACAGTTCACATCGACTCAATGGACTCAAGTGGTTGAATCATCTTCTGTTGCCTTCCTCCAGGGCATTAGGAAGAAGGAAGGTGGAAAGGCCAGAATTTGATGCAGTGCTTTAGTATGGGATGCCAGCATCACAGGTGGAGGCTTAGCCCACTGCGTCACTCGTTGACCCCCCCTCATCACAGTTTTTCTAAGAATCAAATGTTAAGAAAAAGCAGACCTCCCTTAGGGGGAGTGCTAGCAGAAGTGATTAACACAGTAAGCCTCGTGTTAGCCTCTCTGAGTGGTCAGAAAGCTTCAGTCCCTTCCTGTTCACTGTGGGGTGTACTTGACCACAGCAGCCTTCAGGACTGTGTTATCTTCCCAGTTGAGAAAGTAGAGGCTGCTCTGCTCTGAGCCTGCTTGGAAGTCAGAGCGTGGCTTGAAATGGAGGCTTGTCTTTTGAGAACTTTGGTTTACCTTAGCAGCCATGGACCTTGCTCAGGTGACGGAACGACGGTATAGCGTTACAGCTTGAGATTCAGACAAGATGAACAGAGTTGCACTGGGACAATTTGTTTTTTCATGTATTTATAGGTGTGGACACTGCAAGAGGCTCGCCCCTGAGTACGAGGCTGCAGCTACTAGATTAAAAGGAATAGTCCCACTAGCAAAGGTGAGTACAGTGGATTCTGCATTAAGGGAAGTGAGATTTTTTTTTAAATGTTAGTTAAATTAGCTTTCATTTTCTAAAAAGATGCTTAAGAAAGGGCATGCAAGTTGCTGGATAAATATTAAATTTATAGTTTCAAAAGGCTTAAAGTGATTAGAATAAGAAAATTATTAGCATAAAAAAACAAAATACGTTGGCAAATGAAATACAAGGGGCAACTATGAAAAGTAAAAATGAAACTAAAGGTTAGAGGGAAGAACAAACTGGATTACAATACTCACAATTATGGGAAGTGGAAAATATGAGGATACTGATGAGTAGGAAACAATTGGTCAACGTTGAACTTGTTGCTCTTCCAGCATTTGATCATCATTCTGTAGTATTTCCAAAGTCACATTGCTGCCTGAGATAGTTCATGCAAGCAAGTGTAAGGCTGTAGATTGATTTTATTTTATTTGAAAGGCAGAATTGCACTGCTGGTTCATTCCTCAAATGGCTGGAGCGGCCAGAGCTAGGTCCAGGCTAAAGCCAGGAGCTCAGAATTCTTTTTTTTTTTTTTTTTTTGGTTAAGATTTATTTATTGGAAAGTCAGACATGCAGAGAGGAGGAGAGAGAGAGGGGAAGATCATCCGTCCAATGATTCACTCCCCAAATGGCCGCAATGGCTGGAGCTGAGCCAATCTGAAGCCAGGAACCAGGAGCTCTTCTGGGTCTCCCACACGGGTGCAGGGTCCCAAGGCTTTGGGCTGTCCACGACTGCTTTCCCAGGCCATAAGCAGGGAGCTGGATGGGAAGTGGAGCTGCTGGGATTAGAACCGGCGTTCATATGGGATCCTGGCATGCCAAGCAAGGAGTTTAACCACTATGCTATCACGCCGGCCCCCCTCCTTTTTTTTATTAAAGATTTATTTATTTTTATTGGAAAGGCAGATGTACAGAGAGGAGAAGAGACAGAGGAAGATCTTCCATCTGATGGTTTACTGTCCAAGCAGTTGCAACAGCTGGAGCTAAGCCAATCTGAAGCCAGGAGCCAGGAACTTTCCTCCAGGTCTCCCACACAGGTGCAGGGTCCCAAGGCATTGGGCCGTCCTCGTCTGCTTTCCCACGCCACAATCAGGGATTAGAACTGGCGCTCATCCTGGAGCACCATCCTGGGATCCTGGAGCGTTCAAGGCGAGGACTTTAACTACTACTCTATTGCGCTGGGTCCAGGAGCTCAAAATTCTTTCCAGGTTTTCCACATAGGTGCAGGAACCCAAGCGTTTGGGATCTCTTTCACTGCTTTCCCATGTGGATTAGCAGTCAACTGGATTGCAAGTGGAGCAGCTGGACTTGAGCCAACCCACTAAGATGGGGATACATCTGTTATGAGTGTCAGCTTAACCCACTGCACAACACCAGCCCTTTGGAAACTACTGGTGCTTTTTAAAGATTTATTTTATTTTTATTGGAAAGTCAGATATACAGAGAGGAGAGACAGAGAGGAAGATGTTCCGTCTGATGATGGACTCCCGAAGCTGCCACAAAAGCCAAAGCTGTGCTGATTAGGAGCCAGGAGCCCCTTCCTGGTCTCCTGCGCGCAGGTGCAGGATCCCAAGGCTTTGGGCCATCCTCAGCTGCTTTCCCAGGCCACTGGCCAGGGCTTTGGATGGTAAGCAGGGCTGCTGAGATTCGAACTGGCACCCATATGTGATCATGGTGTGTGCAAGGAAGGTGAGGACTTTAGCCACTAAGCTACAGTGCTGGGCCTCTGTTGTTTTTTAAGATTTATTTGAAAGACAGATTTTATAGACATAGTTATCCTATTTGCTGGTTCACTGTGCAAATGGCCACAATAGTCAGGACAGATGGTTTGAAGCAGGGAGCCAGGTGCTTCTTCTACGTGGGTACAGGAGCCCAAGGATTTTTGCTATTCTTTGCTGCTGTCCAAAACCATAGGAAGGAGCTGGTCAGGAACTGGAGCACCCAAGACACAAACTGGCACCATATGGGATGTCTGTGCCATAGGGTGGAGGATTAGCTTGCTGTGCCACTGTGCCAGCCCTGGAAACTACTTTTAATCCTGGTGTTAAACATCTTGGTAAAGGGGAAACTTCAGTCATGGTTTAGTCCCTGCCTTGTGTGACTATAGGCACAGGAATTTTTTTATTTTTAAAATTTATTTATTGGGGGCCCTGGTGTGTTAACCTAGTGATTAGTCCTTGCATGTGCCTGGATCCCATGTGGGTGCCAGTTCCTATCCTGAATGGTCCACTTCCCATCCAGCTCCCTATTTGTGGTGTGGGAAAACAGTCGAGGTTGGCCCAGTGTGTTGGGACCCTGCACCCATGTCGGAGACCTGGAGCATGCTCCTGGCTTTGGATAGGTCAGCACTGGCCATTACAGCCACTTGGGCAATGAACCAGCAGACGGAAGATCTTTCTATCTGTATATCCTTCTCTATATATCTGGCTTTCCAATAAAATAAATAAATCTTAAAAGAAAAATAGATTTATTTGGAAGGTTACGTTAGAGGGACAGAGAGGCTTTCATCTGTTGGTTCGTTCACCTGGGCTACAGTGGCTAGGTTAGGCCAGTCAGAAGCCAGGAGTTTCTTGCGGGCCTACCACGTGGGTACAGGGGCCCAAGCATTTAGCCCCTGCTTCTCCTGCTTTGCTAGGTACATTAGCATAGAGCTCGACTAGGAGTAGAGCTGCCAGCACTCAAAGTAGTACCTCTATGTGATGCCAGCAACCCAGACAGCAGCTTTATTTGCTAGACTACAACACTAGCCTCAGATACATTAATTCTCTGTCTCCATTTTACCTGTCTTAGAAATTATTTTCCTTTCTGATCATTTTCACTAGGTTTGCTAAGCTATAGGTCAGCCATCTCAGATTAGCTGTGGGAGTATGTGCAAGTGTTTGTGCCTGTAAGTGGTTTATTTTCTAAGATCTAATATTTTATGATGTATTTGGTGTAAATTACTTGATCCTCTTGTTATCTGATCACTTCTAATATTTTGGGAGCATAGAAAGGACCTGCGGTAGGTATTTGGATAATAAAATAATTTGTGCTTTAATTATTAGGTTGACTGCACTGCCAACACAAACACCTGTAACAAGTATGGAGTCAGTGGATATCCAACACTGAAGATATTTAGAGATGGTGAAGAGGCAGGTGCTTACGATGGGCCGAGGACCGCCGGTAAGGATTCCAGGTTAAGGTCTGGCAACTGAATTTGTTTAGGTTTTACTGTTGTTTGCCACTCAATTTTTAAAGTATCTTTTCTTTGTTTTGGAAATGTGAAATATATTTTTCTACACAGTACACAAAAGACTTCCCTAAATGGATAGGATGTAATAGAGAAAAATACTTGAACTTGAGTTACAAGATCAGCTGTGTTTTCTCATTTGATAAATATTGAATTCTCACTCTGTCAATTATTATGCGTACTGTTAAACATCTCTGTTTTGTAGAACATTCTAGGATAAAAGGGAAAAAAGACCACAAACAAGTTATAAAAATATTTGTGAATAATCATACATGTTAGAATGGCTATATATATAGGCGGGGCGTGGTATAGTTGACATGTGGGGTGCACACATCCTGTATCTGAAGTGCTGACTTGAGCTACAGTTACTTTGGTTCCCATCCCACATCCTTGGTTTTGGTTTTTGTTTTTTGTTTGATTTCGTTTGTTTTTAAATCTGGATGGGATTACTGTATGAATCAGTGATTCTTCCTGGGAATGTAACTTAAAAGAATTGAAACAGGGTCTCCAGCATGTAGCTGTACATCTGTATTTGTGGCAATGTTATTTTCTTTCTTAAAGATTTTGTTATTTTTATTGGAAAGTCAGATTTACAGAGAAAAGGAAAAACAGAGCTGGATGGGAAGTAGAGCAGCAAGGACATAAACCAGCACCCATAAGGGATCCTAGCGCATGCAAGGCCAGAATTTAGCCACTAGGCTGTCATACCAGGCCCAGCAGCATTATTTATAATAGGCAAAAAAAAAAAATAGAAGTAATCAAAATGTCTGTTGGTGGTTGCATAAATAAATGTGGTTTGCATACTATGGAATATTTTCTTGCTTTTAAAAGGGAGGACATTCTGGTACATGCTACAACATGGAAGAACCTTGAAGTTCATATGCTAGATGATTAAAACTAGACATAGGCAAATTCTGTATAGTTCCACTTAGGTGAGGTACCTAGCATAGGTACTTGTGTGTGTGGTGTGTGTGTGTCTTTAGAGATTTGCTTACTTGAAAGGCAGTTGTAGATCTTCCATCCCCTGTTTCCCTAAATGGCTTTATTGCAGATCTGGGCCAGGCCAAAGCCAGAGGCCAGGAGTTCATCCAGGTCTCCTACCTGGTAGCAGGGGGCCAACCACTTGGACGCTCCTCCACTGCTTTCCCCAGGTCATTAGCAGGGAGCTGGCCCAGAAGTAGAATAGCCCCATGGTCAGTGAGTAGAAGCCTTACCTGATATGCCACCCCTGTAGGCAGATTTAAAGACAGAAACCAAACGATTGATTACCAGGGGCTAGGTGGAGGAGAGGTTATTTTATGAGTGGAATTCCAGCTTGGCAAGATTAAAAAAAAATTGCTTATACAACTACGTAAATATAAATATTTTTAAAAATTATTTGAAAGGGTAGAATGAGTTAGTATTGAGAACTTAACAGCTCCCTGAACTTAGACAGTCCTAACTGAATTGTACATGGATTCAGACACTGTTAATAGACAAATGTTCTCATTTGGGCTGTAACATAGATGTATTAATTTTGAGATTTTCTCAGCATTTATCTAGCAATTCAGATCTTTGGTTACTTTCTCATAAAGACTTCAGCAGGATGGATTATCTGCTCAGGTTACCCATTCCCATTACATCTTGCAAGGAATTTCTTTTTATATGTATTTATATTAAAAGTCAGGTTTACATCGCTTCTCGGCCTTTTGGCTGAGATCAAGTGTAAAAGTCAGATTTAGGGCCCAGTGCAGTGGCCTAGTGGCTAAAGTCCTCGCCTTGAATGTGCCAGGATCCCATATGGGTGCCAGTTCTAATCCTGGTGGTCCCACTTCCCATCCAGCTCCCTGCTCGTGGCCTGGGAAAGCAGTAGAGGACGGCCCAAAGCCTTGGGACCCTGCACCCGTGTGGGAGACCTGGAGGAAAGTTCCTGGCTCCTGGCCTCAGATCAGCGCAGCTCTGTCCGTTGTGGCCACTTGGGGAGTGAGTCATCGGATGAAAGATCTCTGTCTCTCCTCCTTTCTGTATATCTGACTTTGCGATACAAAAAATAAAGTATTTTTTTACAAGATATTTACAAAGAGAAGAAACAGAAAGATATTCCATCTACTGATTGACTCACCAAGAGTCCACAGTGACCAGAGCTGCGCTGATCTGAAGTCAGGATCTTCTGCCAGGTATCCCACATGGTACAAGGTCCCAAGGCTATGGGCCGGCTACAAGCAGAGAGGTGGACGAGAAGTGGAACAGCCAGGATACGAACCAGAGTCTGTATAGAATGCAGGTGCTTAAAAGAGGAGGACTAGCAAGCTGAGTCATTATACTGGCATGTCATTTTATTCCTTAGGCACGCAGAGCTAGCTGCCTCCTGTCTGCTGCTTCACTTCCGCAAATGTCCACAACAGCTGGGGCTGGGCCAGGCTGAATAAAATTAGATCCCAGAAGCCTGAACCCCATCTAGGTCTAACCAAGTATAGGGGCAAACCAAGTACTTACGCCATTGCCTCCTACCTCCCTGGGTGCACATTATCAGGAAGCCGGAATTGACAGCAAAGCTAGAGCTGAAAGTCGGGCACTTGGTTAAACAATGTAAGTGTCCCAACAGTTGTCAACTAGTTTGCTGCGCTGGTCCCACTATGATTTTGTGTTTGTTTTTTTTTTTTTTAAGATTTATATTATTTTTATTGGAAAGATACACAAAGAGGAAGATCTTCCATCCATTGCTTTATTCCCCAAGTGGCCTTAATTTTGTATTTTTGAAAATAGAAAGCTGGGCCTGGTGTAGTGGCCTAGTGGATAGAGTCTTTGCCTTGCACATGCCAAGATCCTGTATGGGAAAGCAGAAGAGGATGGCCCAAAGCCTTGGGACCTTGCACCCATGTGGGAGAGACAGAGGGTGCTCCTGGCATCAGATTGGCTCAGCTCCAGTCATTCCGGCCACTTGGGGAATGAACCAGCGGATGAAAGATCTTCCTCTCTATCTTTCCTCCTCTCTGTAAATCTGACTTCCTAATAAAAATAAATCTTTTTCTCATAGTAGGCACTAGAGCAAAGAAAAACTCCCCCCTGTGAAATTGGCTTGGTAGTGAAGAGATGAGCTGTATACAGATGCTAAGTAAATGTCTTTGAAGGGCAGTTAACGGTTATCAATGCATGTACCCTTCACCCAGTGAATTCACTTCTAGAAATTTGACATATGAAATTAATACAGTGTTGTTTATATCTATCACCTAATCAGATGTGACAGCAAGAGATTAGAAATGTGTCCATTAGTCTTGTCTGATTAAATGCAAAGTATTTAGTCCATACAGTAATGATGTACTAAATAGCTATAATAATAGAAGATTGAGGTAGCTCATTATGCATATTGATATAAATTATCTCTGAATTGTTAAATGATGAAGAACAACATAGAGAACATGAATATGTGCCATTTTGCAGCATAAAAGATGAAAAACATAAATATTTATGCATAAAATATTTGGACAGCTGTACTGGGAATTAAAATCACATCTTGTAGGGAGAAACTGCATGCCAGGCAGCAAGGGTGGGAAGAAAACTTCACTGTAGATGCTTTTGCACGTTTTGAATTTTGAATCTTGTCTTCTAAGATGGAATTGTCAGCCACTTGAAGAAACAGGCAGGACCAGCTTCCGTGCCTCTCAGGACTGAGGAAGAATTTAAGAAGTTCATTAGTGATAAAGATGCTGCTGTGGTGGGTAAGTAACACGGATTCTGTTGTGCACAAGATCATCAGCTTGCGCTCGGAAGTCTTGATGTGTGGGAAAACTACAAGGTTACAACAGCATGGGAATCTTGCTAGAGGAGCATTGCCATAATGTGGGGCAACTGAGGTTTGGAATGGTTTGTGGCCTTACAGATTAATTTCTATTGAAAGAGCAGAGTATTTTTCAGCTTTTCCTGTCAGTTTTTAAATTATTAGGTTTAACTTAAAAAATAAGATAGTTACCACTGAAAATTAGATTAAGTGGAGCGTATACAAGCAAATAATACATCCCAGTGTGTGCTGTTGCACTTTGGAATGTGAGTTGAAGATGGGGTTGTCGGGCTGTGTCCTTGATCCTCACCACAGTCTGCTTTCTGCAGTGTTGCCCTTTTCTCATTAAGAGTTTTAAATGTGACACATTGGACAGGGAAAGAAAATTTTTTTTAAACAGAAAATATGTGCGCTCCCCTGATCAATATTAAAAAAATTCTGTCAGCAGCAGATGATTCATCACTTAAATCTGACTAACTTCTACTGTATTTTGCTGTATGTTTTAGGAATTAACTCTACTAGGCAATTGATGCATGATCACTTTTTGTGTGTGTCACTTTTTTTTTAATTTTTGACAATCTTTACATAGTTAATTAAGGCACAAAGGTTCAAGGACTGCAGGAAAGTGAATAAGACTATCATTTCCACATTTTTTTTCCTATATCTGGGGTAAAGGGGGAGGTAAAGGGAGAAGCCCTACCCAGTCCCCCACCCTGTGTCACTTTTCTAAACCCAGTGTTCTAATGAGAAGAAGTGAAGTCAGTGGTTTGTTTTGATAGGCTATCTTAGTTTAATCCTTTTGATGTCAGAAGTAGTAGTTCCTAAGACAAAGAAATCAGTTTGCCCAGGTTTATTCAGTTGTGAAAAGTAGAAGACTTAAGTTTAAACCCTAACAGATCTTCTCCTGTGGCTCTCAGAAATGTTTCTTTTAAAAATAAAAAAACAAAATTAATAAATAAATAATATAAACAACAAAAAAAGTTTCTTTTAAAGGAAAGAGAATAAGTTTTCCTAAATACTTCTCAGATACCTGGAGTGGTGAGGAAGGAAGCTGACCCAGTCATCTCCTTTACCTTATTTTGCTTTTCCATAATAGAATGAAGGCTTTGAGGCGCAGGAGCGAGGGGGAAAAGAAGATTTTAGAAATGCTGAGTATCAAGTATTCATGCTTCTTCCTGTGTTTGGTATTTTCTATATAGGTTTCTTCAAGGATTTATTCAGTGATGCTCACTCCGAGTTCCTTAAAGCGGCCAGCAACTTGAGGGATAAGTACCGATTTGCGCACACCAACGTGGAGTCTCTGGTGAAGGAGTATGATGAGGATGGAGAGTAAGTGACTGTGGAATGCTTTGTCAAGTTGTGATTTGTTTCCAAACAAAAAATTTTTTTAAGGTTTTTTTTTTTTTAATTGGAAAGTCAGATATACAGAGAGGAGGAGACAGAAAAGAAGATCTTCCATCCGATGACTCACTACCCAAGTGGCCGCAACGGCCAGAGCTGCGCCGATCAGGAGCCAGGAGTCTCCTCCAGGTCTCCCACATGTGTGCAGGATCCCAAGGCTTTGGGCCATCCTTGACTGCTTTCCCAGGCCACAGGCAGGGAGCTGGATGGGAGGCTGGGCTGCTAGGACACAAACTAGTGCCCATGTGGGATCCTGGCATGAGCAAAGCAAGGACTTGAGCCATTGGCTACCGTGCTGGGCCCTATTTACAAAGTTTTTGAACCTTTGGAAATGGTTGATGTCTTCTTCAAAAGGCATTTAACTAGGGAGGATGTGAGTGAGTGATTACTTATAAAAATGTATATCTTAGGATGGAAATGTACAAGGATAACTCAGAGCATTCATTGGCAGAGGAAGGCATTGTCCTGGCAGCTAAGGACTAGTTGGAATGCACATGTGCCGTATCAGGTCAGTATTTACAATCCAGCTCTGCCTCCCTTTATGGTTCTTACTAATACGTACCCTAGGAAGCAGCAGGTGATTTCCTGCTAATACCATGTCTCCTATCGGGCTTCCTGGGTGTGATGCCAGTGTTTGGCTCCTGGCTCCAGCTTCCTGCTAATGTAGATCCTGGGAGGCAGTGGTGATGGGAGACCTCTTTTTGCTGGTGGTCCCACGACACCCATACCTCCTGCCACCATTTTGGCCATTTAGAGAGTTGAGCTAGGGGATGAGAACTCTGTTTCTTTTTTTAAACAGAACCCCAAGGATTTAAGGGTTAAACATAATGGGAACAAATAAATTAAATAAATTATTTTTGGTGCAATCTTTTTTGAAATCCATGTATAAGTTTATTATAATACACATTTTCTGTGAACTTTCAGGAAGCTTCAGGAGTACAAAGGGAAGCGAGTGAATTTTTTTCCTAAGGGATAGAATAGTATCAGAAAAAGCTTCCTGGAACCCATAACTTCAAAGACCAGTTTTCCCAGGCAGATTGTAGTAGTTGGGATGAAAATTATTCCAGATAGAGTAGTTGAAGTGAAAGCCCAGAGACATAAAGCAGTCTTGGCATGTTTGCATATAGCGCTGCTAAGGTTTCGTTTATGATTGAGGTGATAATGAAAGGTTATCAGAAACTAACCAAAGCCGGGCTCAGCACAGTAGCCTAGCAGCTAAAAGTCCTCGCCTTGCATGCGCCAGGGTCCCATATGGGTTCCAGTTCTAATCCCGGCAGCGCTGCTTCCCATCCAGCTCCCTGTTGTGGTATGGAAAAGCAGTCAAGGATGGCCAAAGGCCTTGGGACCCTGCACCCACATGGGCGACCCGGAAAAGGCTCCAGACTCCTGACTTCAGACTGGCACAGCTGCAGTCATTCTGGCTGCTTAGAGAATGAATCAATGGATGGAAGATCTTCCTCTCTGTATATCTGACTTTCCAATAAAAATTTAAAAATAAATCTTAAAAAAAAATTAACGAACTAACTAACCAAAGCCTTTTAGGTGCCATGTCCAAATTTAGCTTTTTTCTTGCAGACATTGAAGCCATCGAAAAATTGAATTAGAAAATAATGTGTGTAATTTGTGTTTTCAGAAATAAAGTTAGTGGCATCCTCATGATAGTGGTTTGAAGAGGGAGTGTGGGGCGAGTGTGTAAGAGATTACAAACCAGAGGGACCCCTGGGACTCTGCGGCAGCATTTAGTGACAGTGGAGAGGAGTGTGAGAGGATAAAACATGTAAGCAACAGGACTCATTTAAAAGATTTTACATTTTTTTATTTAAAGATTTTTTTTTTTTTTGAAAGGCAAAGTATAGAAAGGGAAACACAGGAACTTCCTTCCACTTGTGCCCTTCCCAACTGGCCATAATCATTAGAGCTTCCTCCAGTTCTTCCACAGGCGTGGAGGGCATAGAAAAGCTGTGGGAAAAATTCCACGTCTTTGGGCCCCAGCACTCATGTGGAAGGCCTGGAAGAAGCTTTAGGCCCCTGACCTTGCTATGCTATTGTGCTGGGCCCCTAGAAATTTTCTTTGCCTCTATTTTTCTCTGTAAATCTGCCTTTCAAATAAGAATATTTAAAAATTATAATGATTTTTGGGCCCGGCGCAATGGCGCAGTGGTTAAAGTCCTCACCTTACACACGCCCGGGATCCCATATGGGCGCCGGTTCTAATCCCAGAAGCCCCACTTCCCATCCAGCTCCCTGCCTGTGGCCCGGGAAAGCAGTCGAAGACGGCCCAAAGCTTTGGAACCCTGCACCCACGTGGGAGACCTGGAAGAGGCTCCTGGCCTCGGATCGGCATAGCATTGGCCATTGTGCTCACTTGGGGAGTGAATCATCGGACGGAAGATCTTCCTCTCTGTCTCTCCTCTCTGTATATCCGCCTTTCCAATAAAAGTAAAATAAATCTTTTTTTTAAAAAATGATAATGATTTTTAAAAAAATTTAGAGGAAGACTTTTCACCCAGCAGGTAAAACATATTGGGCTGCCAAAGTTTGATTCCTTGCTCTGGTAGTACAAACAAGATAAATTTATATAGGCTTGGTAGCTTGGATTAGAGAAATGCCAAACAAAATTTCTAAAGAATTTGAGGTAAATATTCATAATTATATTTCTATCCATGACATTTTATGACTTGAGGGATTCTTGAAGGTGTTTTCTCTAATGAAATATTTGTCTTACTGTGTGAGGTAAATTTATTTTTAATACATGTTGGGGTTAAGTTGGGTTCTGTTTGCTACTTTTTTTTGAGATTTTGGAATTACCTCTTCTGAACCTTTTTTGAGATGATGAGAAAACTGATCGCAGAAGGACTTTCCAATCCAAGGTTTATTAAATTAGCATCTCAGTGTAGATGAGAAGGTCATGTTACTTCAGGGTCTGTAGCCCCAGGAAAGGGTCCTGATGTGCTTATAGGGTAATAGTAAAGTAGTGCAGAAATGTGAAGCCATGAGCTGTGAATTTTTTTTTTTTAAGGGGCATCACCTTGTTTCGTCCCTCACATCTGAATAACAAGTTTGAGGACAAGACTGTGGCATACACAGAACAGAAGATGACCACTGGCAAGATTAAAAAGTTTATCCAGGAAAACATGTATGTACCTCTTGATACCTCTTGATTTCTTTTTTGGTTTTACCTCGGTTATTAATCAGAGCTATGTTTTCACTTAGGCTATTAAAGGGTTTACTAAAATAGTAGTTTTAAATTTATATTAAAGCAATAAAAAGCAGGACATCAATGTTAAATTTCTTTGTCTTACATGTGATATCCAGTTACTTAGTCATATGATTGTAATGTCCAAATAAACTTGCTCAAGTTAATGGATTATTTTGTTTCAGTTTTGGGATCTGTCCTCACATGACAGAAGACAATAAAGATTTGATACAAGGCAAGGATTTACTTACTGCTTACTATGATGTGGACTATGAAAAGAATACTAAAGGATCTAACTACTGGAGAAACAGGTATTAAAAATCTTACTATCTCTTTTAAACAAGCTTGACCACAGTATATATAATCCTTATAATTATCCTGTTAACATATGTGATGTAAGAACAGGTAAGCATTGGGAGTTTGGGGTGGGCGTTGTAGTATAGAAGGTTAAAGTTCCCATTTGGAATTCCAGCATCCTTTACTTACTAGAATTCCTGGTTTGAGTCCTGGCTCCTCTACCTCCAGTCAGGCTTCCTGCTAATGTGCCTGAGAAGGTAGCGGCGATGGCCCAGATAAAGTCATACGGATGGGGAGGTGGGATTGGGAATATGTGGCTTCAAGAAGCTACCTTTAAAACCATGTGAACAAATAACAAACTGTCTTGAGAATCTGTTGGGCATGGGTTGCAAAGGTGTTTCTTTGCATTATGACACCGTGACATCAGACCTTCTAGTAAAACATATTTGATAGAAGATGCATTTCATTGTGCCTGTGTGCTCATTTAAGCCATCAGTGCATTGGCTCTTAAAATTTTCTTTTCATATCTGCCATTATGCCTGCAGTAGCTCTTGTGGTTAGGTAACAGGATTCCATTGGAGTAAACCATTTGATTAGATGCCTCAAGTTTGGCAGTGTGATTTAGTAAGCCATTGGAATATCCATATTCCTTTGTCAGTGCCCACAGCATAAAATCAAGAATGATTCTGGAGGGCTGAGGGACTATTGAACTTAGTCTTGGCTTTCTAACCTCTTTGTTTTAAAAATGCTTTAGCATATACTTGGCTCAAGTATCTCTTGTTTCCCACAGAGTAATGATGGTGGCAAAGAAGTTCCTAGATGCTGGACACAAACTCAACTTTGCTGTAGCTAGCCGGAAAACCTTTAACCATGAACTGTCCGATTTTGGTTTGGAAAGTAGTACTGGAGAGATTCCTGTTGTTGCTATCAGAACAGCTAAAGGAGAAAAATTTGTCATGCAGGAGGAGTTCTCGTGAGTTGCTTGTTGGGGTGGCATATTTCTGTTCTTGGGATACCATGTGGTCCTGAAGTATACCCAGGGAAATTGGAAAGATCTTGAGACCACAGTTTCAGAGTTAGGAATTTGGCACAGCAGTATAAGTCGCCACTTAGGTTACTTGTATCCTATATCAGAATGCCTCGGTCCAGTCCTGGCTGCTCTGGTTCTAGTCCACCCTTCCACTGATGCACATGCTGTGGGACAGTAGATAATCACTCAGGTACCTGGAGCCCTGACATTCATGTAGATGTGGGTGGAGGTCTGGGCTCCTGGTTTAGGCCCTGCCCGCTACCAGCAGTTCAGTGATTCAGTGGATACAAGATATCTCTTTCTTTGCCATTCCAATAAAATTAATGAAAGAGACCCAGGGGCTGGCATTATGGTGTAGTAGGTAAAACCGCTACTTGGAATACTCAACTCCTGAATGGGTGCTAGTTCATATTCTGGCTGCTGTACTTTTGACTCAGCTCCCTGCTGATGGCCTGAGAAAAGCAGCAGAAGATGGTCAAAGTACTGTGGTCCCTGCTACCTATCTGGGAGACCTGCAGGAAGTTCCTCTAAGATACCCAGGCACAATTTATATTCACCTGGGGAAAGAGAAAAATCTTCCTTGAGAGCCAACAAGACACCTTCAGTATGCCCTGTTGTCCAAAACAACAGAATGGGACCTGGTTCTTTCGTAAAACTGAGTCTCCAAAACACCATCATCTCTTTGCATTTTGTAATACACAAGAGAGTGCACTAGAAATACAAGAGGGGTTTATTTCTTGTTTGATTAGTAGCTTTGCATGTTCACATGTAAGAGCCTTCCTTCCCTTTCTGGCCTTGAATGCAAGCTAAGATGTGTAGAAACTGCTTTGAATCCTTAGTGAACATACTTTATTGCTGTAATGGCAGGCGTGATGGCAAGGCTCTCGAGAGGTTCCTGCAAGATTACTTTGATGGCAATCTGAAGAGGTACCTGAAGTCTGAGCCCATCCCTGAGAGCAACGACGGGCCTGTGAAGGTGAGGCGCTCAGAGCTCCCCAGGGCCAGGAGCAGCCCTTCTCCCCTTGCCTTTCTTAGACTCACCTCCCTGGGCCATAAAATAAGCTACACACAAAGCAGAGGCAGGAGTACAAAACCTTCTTGGAATTTTCTGATGGAATTTATATTTCAGCTGGGATAGAGCAAGCTAATCCCTAAGAATAGCTGTGTTTCTGGGAGGTATTTTAAGGGACAATTAGGTAGCCTGAGTATTTCCTGTTGACTTCCTAAACATAAACATAATTGATAGGTGACACAGATGAGAACAGGTTTGTTTCTATGAGTGGCTTCTTTTTTTTTTTTTTTTTTTTTTTGTGATTTGCTATTTCTTTTTTTTTTTTTTTTTTTTAATTTATTTATTTTTATTACATTGCATCATGAGACACAGTTTTACAGGCACTGGGATTCCCCCTCCCCTCCCCAAAACCCGCTCCCCCCCCATGGTGGATTCTTCCATCTTGTTTAGAGCCTTACAATTTTACAATTCTTTGATGTAGATCAGAAGCAGTCTACTCATATCGATTATTGATTCCTTGATTACTTCACAATATCTTATTGCATGAGATACAGGTTGTTTGGGGTTGAAATAATATTACTGTTTCAGATTGACATCAATTTATAACAACCACATCAACAACAACACTAACAACATCGACAACAAAGTATATCACCCTGAAAAAAAGTAACACCACTGAATAGCCAACACATGCATGACAAAAAGGAAACACAGAAGTCTCTCGGGAAAAATGGTGAATCTAGTCTGTAAATATGATTTGGTTTTCTCTGGCTTTTTAGTGACAACACTTCCGATGTAAGAGTGATTAGATGAACAAGTATAGCTTGTGAACTTACTCTTTATTTCACTTTAAAGAATCGTCTATGTTTTGCAGGTAGTGGTAGCAGAGAATTTTGATGAAATAGTGAATAATGAAAATAAAGATGTCCTGATTGAGTTCTATGCTCCTTGGTGTGGTCACTGTAAGAATCTGGAGCCCAAGTATAAAGAACTGGGAGAGAAGGTAAGCCTGAACTTTTTTTTTTTAATTGGAAAGTGAAATTTACAGAGAGAAGAATCTTCTGTCCACTGGTTCACTCCCCAAATGGCTTTAATAGCCAGAGCTAAGCTGATCAGGAGACAGGGGCTTCCTCTGGATCTCCCACGTGGGTGCAGGATCCCAAGGCTTTGGGCCATCCTCAGCTGGATGAGAAGTGAGGCTGTGGGACACAGCCTGGTGCCCATATGAGATCTCAGCATGTGCAAAACAAGAAATTTAGCCTCTAGGCTATTGTGCCAGTTCTCTGAACAATAATTGGGGGGGAAGTTTGCATATGTATCTAGCATTAGTTACTTGGTTATTTTACTTGGTCCAGTTCCTAAATGCTTGTAGATTTTTTTTTGGTGTACTTTTCTCTTGATCGCCACCTAGTGTCTCTAACTTGTCAGTATCACAGATTTTCTTTTTTTTTTTTTCACATTTTATTATTATTGCAATCATTTTATGATACAGTTCAATATTCCCTTATCCCCTCCCCAGTTCCCTCCCCCCCCCCAGTTCCTCCATATCATCACTAACACATAGCTCTTCATACTCAGTCATATGTCCATCATTGCGGGCATGGACAATGGCAGAGAATCCAGCATCCTATTGTCAAAATATAATATAAACAGTTTCACTGTAAGTCCATCTTTGTCTGGAAACAGAAATGCATACAACACTGCATCCTCACATCTGGTTGTTAGTCTCCATTACATAACTACTGTACATTCTCTTAAATGAAAAGTCATGATACAAAATCAACAATAGAAAGAAAAATAGAAATTCACAATGCCATGAAGTTAAATGACATGTTACTAGATATGACAATCTCCATTACACAACTACTATACCTTCCCTTAAATGAAGAGCCACAAAACAAAATCAACATCCGAGAGAAAAAAGAAATTAACAACACCAAGAAGTTAAACAACATGCTATTAAATGTCTAATGTGTAGCTGAAGAAGTGAAAATCAAGAACCTTCTTGAAGAAAATGATGCCACTGTATGATTTGACCTATTTATTTAGTTTCTTATAAAGATTTATTTATTTTTATTGGAAATGTAGGTTTATAGAGAGAAGGGGAGACAGAATGATCTTCCACCTGCTGGTTCGCTCCCATGCAGCTGTACCAGCCAGAACTGAGCCGATCAGGAGCCAGGAACTTGTTTTTCATTTCCCATGTGGTTGCAAGGTCCCAATGCTTTGGGTCATCCTCTGCTTCCATCCAAGAACGTAAACCAGCACCTACATGGGATCCTGGTACTTGCAATGGGAGGATTAGTCAATTGAGCCCTTGTGCCAGGCCCTTTTGGTTTTTGCTGGTGGGTTATGAACCCGTGAGTTCCTCTTTTTTTGTTTTTCAAGATTTATTATTTCTATTGCAAAGTTGTACTTATAGAGAGGAGGAAAGACAAAGAGAAAGATCCTCCGTCCAATGATTCACTCTCTAAGTGACCGCAACAGCCAGAGCTGCGCCGGTCTGAAGCCAGAGCTCAGAGCCTTTTCAGGTCTCCTACTCGGGCACAGGATCCCAAGGCTTTGGGCCGTCCTCAACTGCTTTCCCAGGCCACAGGCAGGGAGCTGGATGGGAAGCGGAGCCACTGGGATCAGAACCAGCACCAACATGGGACCCTGGCGTGTTCAAGGCGTGGACTTTAGCCACTAGGCTACCATGCCGTGCTCCCCCCATCCCCTTTTTAAAATATATATTCGAAAGGCAGAGTAACAGAAAGGGGAGTAGTGGCAGATACCTTCAATCCATTGGTCCACTTTCCCCAGATGTCTGCATAGCTGAAGCTGGGCTGGGCTGAAGCCAAGCACTGAAGCTTCACCTAGATCTCCCACATGGTGGCAGCAAGCCAAGTAATCACGAACAGGTAGTTGCTTGGGAAGTTCAGAATGCTTAGGACTCAGCAAGGCATTCCCACATGGGCTGCAGGCCTCTGAAGCAGTTGAAGGTGGCTGTAGAGATTTTTATACATATACACACACAGTATATGTATGCATATATATGCAGTAAAGTTTGGCTCATGATTCTAGTGACTGGAAGATTTTTTTTTTTTTTGATATGTTTATTAGAAAGTCAGATATACAGAGAGGAAGATCTGTCCAATGATTCACTCCCCAAGTGGCCACAATGGCTGGAGCTGTACCCCTCCGAAGCCATGAACCTGGAACCTCTTCTGGGTCTCCCACATGGGTGCAGGGTCTCAAGGCTTTGGCCATCATCTGCTTTCCCAGGCCACAAGCAGGGAGCTGGATGGGAAGCGGGGCTACCAGGACATGAACTGGCACCCATATGGGATCCTGGTGCTTGCAAGGCAAGGATTTTTGCCCCCAAGCTACCACGCTTGGCCCTGGAAGATTCTTTAACAGTATATCCCCAGCATCCTAGTGAGGGCCTTAGGGCTGTATCACAGCATGACCTAGTAGAAGAAAGGGAGTGGCCACATGCAGAGGCGTGTAGATTCTTAATAAGTAGGAGCCAGGAGAGAAGAAGGTTAGATGCTGTCTGTAAGCTTATTCTGTTCTTCCCAGTTGGTCAACAGCAAATGCAGCTGAAGAGTGAAGTTGTAAGTCTTGAGTTGAATAAGTGTGCCTCAATTACTTGAAAACTTGAAATTTAAAGATCTAACCTTTACACTAACAGCTCAGCAAAGACCCAAATATTGTCATCGCAAAGATGGATGCCACAGCCAATGATGTGCCTTCTCCATATGAAGTCAGAGGGTAAGTAGATTTAAAATAACTGTTTTGTCTAGATAACTGAAAGGAGAAAATCAGCTTGTCTGCCACAGGAAATCCTTTATTAAACCTGGTTTTGGGGCTCTTCATACATAACCACTGATTGCATTTGCAGTGTTCATCCACATGACTAAGAACTGTGTGAGCACTAATTGATGGGTTTCGTAAACTCTTCTTTTCCCAGTTTTCCTACCATCTACTTCTCTCCAGCCAACAAGAAGCAAAATCCAAAGAAATATGAAGTAAGTGCATCCGCTTATCTTTCCACAAGTATATAAACGCATTTGTTCTTATTTGGTTCTTCAGTTACGTTAATTTGAAATTCTGCTATTATAGTCAATGTGTGTATTTGCTTAAATGTTTATACAAACTCCAAAGCCACCTTACTTGAGGAGGGGTGGGCGGAATCTAGGATTATGTAAGAAGCTGAAATTTAAGTAATTTTTTTTTTTAGGGTGGCCGTGAATTAAGTGACTTTATTAGCTATCTACAGCGAGAGGCTACAAATCCCCCTATAATTCAAGATGAGAAACCCAAGAAGAAGAAGAAGGCTCAGGAGGATCTCTAAAGCAGCAGCCAAATACACACTTTGTAAAAGGACTCTTCAGCCAGACACGGGAAAACTATTGGGGAAGACTGGGACCCATGTGGGATTACTACCTCTCGGGCCTGAGAGGACAGAATGGATGTAATCTGAATCCTGTTCAATTTTCTCTAAACTTTCTTAGCTGCACTGTTTATGAAAATACCAGGACCAGTCCATGTTTGTGGTTTGGGGGGAAATTATTTGTGTTGGGGAGAAAGTTGTGGGGGTGGGGAGGGAATTAAGTTGGGGGGTTATTTTCTAATTTTTTTTGTACATTTGGAATAGTGACAATAAATAAGCCCCCTTTAAATTGTCATTTTTTTTCCTCTACGGATGAAAAACCAAAGTCCAATAGGACTTTCCTACAGTCATAGAAAGGTTCTGTGATCAGCATTGTTCAGTACCTGTACTAAGCAGCAACTAAAATGTGGCTAGGAATTGCATTTTTAATTTTAATTACTTAAACACAAATTCTACCCAAGTTTCTGCTTTCCTCCCATGCTCATGTGTTTATTGCACAAGTTGCCGACCTGATGATTAGACCTGGTAGAGAGTCCTTTCTTACTGGGCTGTTTCGGACCCCACCCATGCTCTTGCCATGCAGCTGAACTTGTTGCTTGCCTAACCCCCAGACATCTCATGAGTGGGTGTGGCATCAGGTTGAGGTTCAGGATTGCTCTCAGTGCTGGGTGCAGCTCTCCTCCCCCAAAGCCTGTGGTATGGCCCATTAATTTCTCTCTCTAGTAGAACCAGAGAAAAGCAATTGTGAGCATAATATGAGCTTTCCTCCACAACAGTGAGGGGAGGGTGCAGGGGGAAGAGCATGACTGAAGTTCAAATGAGTTAAAGAACCATTTTTGGTAGCTAGATCAAAATCCTGTCCACAGGATAATTTCAAATAGGAACCTTGCTTTGAGGTGCTCATGCACATCCTTGTATGCAGAAAATAACTTCCTACTATCACCCCTGGTTCTCATGTGTAAGTGTGGTAGGGCCTTACAGCAAAACACACATCACGATCATCATAAATGATGCTTTAATTAAAGGTGTGTAAACCATAGTCTTACAGTTTCTAACTCCTAACCACATGAGTTGGGGCCAGGGAGCCAATCTCTTATTTGAAGAGCAAGGGAAGGAGGACAGGGAGAGAAAGAAGGCTCCTGTCTGCTCATTAACTTCTCAGATGCCTGCATTGTCTGGGGCTGGGGCCAGAGCTGGGAGACAGTTCAATTCTCCCACACATTTGGCAAGAACCCAAGCAATTGAAAAATTATTGCTGCCTTCCAGGCTCTGCATCAGGTGCTAGATATTGAACCCAGTTACTGATGGGGAATAAGAACATCTTAACTGCTAGGCCAAACCTGCCCCAGAATCTAATTCTGTAGTCACAGAAGCATTTCAGATATACAGCCTGGAGTGAGAGCTATTGGCCTGGAGAATTTAAGGAAAAGAAAAAGACATAGGAAACAGTTTTACTGTTATTTTGTAAAAGCATTCACATTCAGTACAGGGGCCCTTTCCCATTATATCCAGATGCAGTGCAAGCTGCTTCAACTCCACTATAAAAGTTCTTCCTTAGGGAAGCTACCAGGCTAAATTCATTTTCAGTTTGTCTAACATCCAGGACAAGAAAATCTTGTCCCAGAAATGATGTCATTTCTCAGAATTTGAAAATATTAAGTTGAGGAAGCCAACCCTTTGCTCCTTCCCCTAGTGTCCTGGGCACAGCTGTGGCACCCTGGCTCTATGCCCACACCCTAAAGACTTAAACATGGCAATGGTGAAGAACCTGGAGAACCCAGAGCAGCTTGCTACATGCTACCGTGAACTTGTAAGAAAAGCGTACAGTTAACCAGTTGATAGCTGCTTTGTTCCTATCTCACTGGGCAAAGGGTCAAGAGTCCTCAGGACGGCTTCAGCTGCCTCTGTTCTTTTCCTCAAACTCCAGAATGAGACCTTTAATGTGGGACAGTTTCTGATGCAGGTACTCACAGCGGCGTTTTTCTTCCCTGTAGCCTGGGTACCGCTGGGGAGAGATAGTATCCATCCACGTTAGAAAGTAAAACCCTCAAGGTAAAACTTGTTTCCACTCCCAGACATTTGGGCTTACCTTCCTGAACTTTCTATATTCCTGGATTACCTTCTCTTCTAACACCTGAAACGGAAAATACTAGCGCTGATCTCAACATTGAAACACAAGGGAAGAAAACTTGCAGATGACAAAGATTGCTCTGTCAAGACAAGTTCACATAGTTACTGTGCTGAACAAATGCAGGCTCATGGCAGGAGGTCAGCGGCCAGTAAGGCTGGCAAACCAAGCCTGAGCCCAGTCCCTTACCTTGCGTTCTGGAGACCCTCGCTGAACTCTGTTGATCTCTGCTCCCAGCTCTACGAACCGTTGGCTTGCAGCCCCAACACGAGCATGCAGTGTGCGGTATTCGGCATAATCTGTCTCAAAGTCCTGCTCATAGGCCTGCTGCTGTTCTATGCTGTGGATTGGTTTGTATTGCCTGCCAGGAGCACAGAGGTGTTACCTTCATTTTCATTGCTTCTGTAACCCCCCACCAAGAAACAAAACAAAACAAATAAATGCAAAAACCTCCCAGCTTTCCAAGAAGTTAAAATCTGCACACAGGTTTGATGAAGTTGGAAACGTCAGTGAACTCACAGGAGATAATCCGGTACCTCTTCAGGGCTTGGGGATTCACAGTCTGGGAAGGAACCAGCAAACACAAAAGCAGTTTACAGGTTTTTCCTCCTCTGTTGGCATTTTGACCTTTCTCTCATAAACTCACCTGCAGAAACTGAAGGACTGGGGTCCCCATCTTCGCCTTGCTCCCAGTCTTCTCCCGCCTGTATGTCCTGACTGACTGACTCTTGTATGGGACTTGTAGCTAGAGGTAGTGCTCTGAGCCTCTTTTCTTCTAGTCCTCTTGTGGTTGTCGACGCTGGACGTTTCTGTTAAGGAAAATACCTGTGAGACACAAACAGTAGGCCAGGAGCTTCCAGTTTTGCCTTTCTCAAAGCCTCCACTTGGGGTCTTCTTGTTAGACCACGTGTAACCAGCCTGTGACACCACCATCCTGTAAGAGCACTGGTTCATGTCCTGGCTGGTCCACTTCCAGTCCAACTCCGCTAATGCAGCTGGGAAAGCAGCAGAAGGTAGCCCGCATGCTTAGGCTGCTACACGCATGCGGGAAACCTGGATGGAGTTCAGGCTCCTGGTTTCCGTCTGGCCGTGGCAGCCCTGTAAGGAGTGTACCAGCACTCTGTGTCTTCCTCTGTAATTCTTCCATTTTGATAAATATTTTTTTTTTAAAAAAAAAAAGTCCATTTAATGAGTTTCTAACATGTAGCTCATTAAAAGCCCTTACTTTGTCCAGGTATTTCTGGCTGGCAGAAACAGGCTGTTCCTGGCCGGACTCTCTATTTGGCAGATGGGTCTGGTTCCTAGGATATCTGCCGAGAGGAGGAGGAGGAGGGGTGAGAAGCAGAGCATGAAGTGAGACTAGACCTTTTATCATTGCATTTAAAGGTAGAGAACAAACAGGAAGCTCATGCCAGGGCCTATTGGTCCCACCCTGTCCCAAGTACCTCACTTCGCACTGGGCCGCACGCTCCCTTGAAGATCCTGGGAGCGACTCTCCTGGATCTGACACCTGGCAGGGAAAGTGGCAGAAGCACTTAGCTCCTTGGGCCTGAGGCTCTGCCCCACCTCATCACAGCTCTGCCGTGGCTAACCTCACCTCCTCTGGGGCCATCTGGGACTGTGAGACTGCATCTCCTGCAGAGGAGCCTCCAGTGTTGGGCCAGCACTCAGCACCTGCAGACTCTTCAGGCAGGTTGGATCCCAGAACTAGCGTCGGGGCTGGGATAGCATCCATGGCTGCCCAGATAGTGAGGCGCTCCCGGAGAGGACCCAGACAGTGCAGGCGGTTTGGCCCAGATCTGGAACGGAGAGGTGGAAAACACCAGAAGGGGTGGAGAATTTTGAAGCACCTCTCCACAGTTCCCGTTCCCCTAGCCGCTTCCTTACCTGCGTAGCCTTTGGCACACAAGGTCCAAGCCACCACTGCCACCCTCCTGGCCACACTGGGATGCTACGAAGGAGAAGAGGCAGGACCAGCCAGGGCCTGGGAACCTCAGATACTGGGGGTGGAAGGAGACAGTAAGCGCCTTGAGGTCAGCCTGTCTCCCTCCGGCTCACGCCTCCCCTCTCTGAGCCAGCAGAAGAGGCAAGATGATTCCCCCACGGGGCTCGTTAGCAACAACAGGTGCAGATGAGCCTTAAGGGCCTCAGGAGGCTGAACCTGCACAGTCCCCCCTGCAACCACAGTCTCCTGGGACCACAGCCCAAGCAGCCCTCTTGCCACATTTGGGGTTCTGTTCTCGGAACTTCCTCCAAACCATGACCGCTCACAGCCTCCCGCCTTGAACCGCATCTTCCCCAGGTCCGCCTTAGCGCTCCCTCACTCACACACATCCTCCTGACACTTACTCCGCGGTGGCCTTGGAAAGCGATCAGTGGGTGAACCTACGGAGAGAGAAGAGACGGGAGCCGAAAGCGTGCAGGTGAAGAAACGTCCCCAGGAACCGGCACCTGCCTGGCGGGCTCCACTTAAAAGACGCGGGTCTGAAGGAGCCTCCGCCGCACCCTGCCCGTCCCTTCTCCCAGGTCGCAGGCGGAAGCTCCCCAGTTCCTCTCCAGGTAAAGGGGTGGAAAAAGGAGAGACGTTAGACGCACCTGTTGCCGCTGACACTCGCGCAGAGCCCGCAGCGCCGGGTCATTGAGCCTGAGCAGTAAGAAGCTGGTCCGAGGAGCGGAGGAAAAGCAGAGCCGTAGCTTCCCCGTCAGAGGTTCCTGCGGTCCCTCCATGGTATCGAGGTCGAGCCAGCAAAGCAGCACAGCGGACCCGAGCCAAGCGACCGCCGCCTCCGCTGTGTGCAGAGCTCCAAGGACACACCCGGCTTCCAGGTCCGCCCCGCCCTCCGCCCAGGCCCCACCCACATGCACCCCTGCACCCCTGCACCCCTGAGCTTTCCCAGCCGCTTGGGCGCCGCCGCTCTCTCCCGGGTCATCCGCGGTGACTCCAGCAAATTCTTCGGAGACTGGCATGGATCACCCTCCCCAGCCCCACCTTGGCCTTTCAGAAGGGCCATCCTAACTCGGGGTGGAGCAGAGGGGAAACAGAGTGCAACTAAGAGCTTGACTCCTTGTCCCAAATCTCCAGTCCTGCCTCAGTTTCCCAGCAACCCTGAACTCGGTGTTTTTGTTTTTAAGTGAAAACTGTGCCAGTCACAGACCACTTCAGGGTCTCAGCCTCAAGCCAAAGGGAAGGAAGGAGCGGTCATTTGTGCTGGATCAGAAGCAGAGCAGCAGCGATTTAGACTGGTACCCTGATATGGGCTGTGAGCGTCAGCTTAACCTGAAACACTACAACACCAAGGTTCCCATGAACTTTTTAGAAATACCCTCCTACGGGTTTGGAGATGGTAAAAGCTATCTGGGCAAGAGACATAGTACCCCTGATGATACTAAAAAAAAAGTTTCAAGAAAGGAATGGACAACTATTAAATGCTTTCCACAGTTCATGGAAAATGAAAATTAAGAATTGGCTGCTGAGGGCCCAGCGCAGTAGCCTAGTGGCTAAAGTCTTCTTTGCCTTGCACATGCTGGGATCCCAAATGGGCACCAGTTCTAATCCCAGCAGCCCCACGTCCCGTCCAGCTCCCTGCTTGTGACCTGGGAAAGCCTTGGAACCCTGCACCAGTGTGGGAGGAAATTCTAGGCTCCTGGCTTCTCACCTTTGGCTGTTGCAGCCACGTGGGGAGTGAATCAGTGGACAAAAGATATTGCTCTCTCCTCCTCTCTATATATCTGCCTTTCCAATAAAAAAGAAATCTTTTCAGAGCCAGGAACTTCTTCCAGGTTTCGCATGTGTGCGCAGGGTCCCAAGGCTTTGGACCATCCAGGACTGCTTTCCCAGGGCACAAGCAGGGAGCTTGATGGGAAGTGGGGCTGCTGGGATTAGAACCAGGGCCCATATGGGATCCTGTTGCATTCAAGGCAAGGACTTTAGCCACTACGCCACTACACCAGACCCAAAAATAAATAAATCTTAAAAAAAAAATAATTGGCTGTTGAGAAGCCAGCACAATAGCTCAATTTAAAAAAAGTGTCTCATGATGCGCCAAAAAATGTTTAATATTTCCTAGTTAGTTAAAAAAAATAATAAAATACAACTTTAAAAATTTGGGAATTAGTAAAAAAAAAATATAGCTCAATTAACTAATCCACTGACAACAAGCTCTGGCATCTCAAATGGATGCCAGTTCATGCCCTGGACACTGTGGCCACCTGGGGAGAGAAACAACAAACAGACGATCTTCTTGTCTTGTCTTCTCTCTTTAAATCTGCCTTTCCAATGAGAATAAATAGATCTTGGTGCTTGCTTTGGTAGCACATACACTAAAAATGAAAGTGAATAAGTATAAAAAGGGAAAACAAAGAAAGAAATATTTGAGCATTGAGGTAGGTTGGGGCTTTGGTGAGATGCTACTTGGGAGACCTACATCCCCTGTTGGAGGGGCTGCATACAAGGCCTGGCTCTTCATCTTTTTGTCTCATTTCCTATACTAAAATTAAGGTCCTAGGGGCCTGACGCAATAGCCTAGTGGCTAAATCTTTGTCTTGCATGCACTGGGATCCCAAGTCCAGTACATCCTTGCTCCACTTCCCATCCAGCTCCCTGCTTATGGCCTGGGAAAGCAGTAAAGGATAGTCCAAAGCCTTGGAACCCTTCACCCACATGGGAGACCTAGAAAAAGTTCCTGGTTCCTGGCTTCAGATTGATTCAGCTCTAGCTGTTGTGGCCACTTGGGAAGTAGACAGCAGATGGAGGCTCTTTCTCTCTTTCCTTCACTCTGTAAATCTGACTTTCCAATGAGAATAAATAAATCTTTTTTTAAAAAAATTAAGGTTCAGAGAGGCCAGTGTTGTGGTATAGCAAGTTAAGCCACTACTAGGGATGCTGGTACCCCATGCTAGAATGTGGAATTGAGTTTTAGGGGCTCCACTTCTGATTCCAGTTCCCTGCTAAGGCATACTCTGGAAGGCAGTAGAAGATAGCCCAGGTACTTGGATCCCTGCCACCCATATGGGAGTTCCAGATGAAGCTCCTGACTCCTAACTTCAGTCTGGCCCGACCTGACCATTGCTGCCATTTGGGGACTGAACCAGTTCTCTGGTCTCTGCCCTTCAAATAAATCTTTTTTTTTTTTCAAGTAAGTCTTAAAAAAATATTCAATTCTACACTACATTAAATTTGTGCTCTTGATATTAATTTTAAAAGATATTTGTTTAAAGAAAAAATTAAGGTCTACAACATTTACAAATCTACAAATCTGCAAAATTCCTTTCCATAGAATTGGCAGCTCTTCAGTAACGTCATGCCAGGGCAGTTAGAATTGCTCACAGAGTCTTCATTCAAATTACACTGACATCTGCTTTGATGGGCCAGTGCTTACGCTGCGTTTCCTGTGAAATGTTTTGAATATCACCCTTGCATAGGATGTTCTTTTAAAGCAATTATTTTACATGAAATAGAGAGGGAAAGTGAGGAAGTATGTTTGAAGGCATTTTCCTTTCTATTTTGTAAGTTTCATAAGCACAGAAATGCATGTTTCTGTTTTTAAATGCTAATTCATTTATTTGAGAGGTAGAAAGAGCTCTCATTTGCTGATTCACTCCCCAGATGCCCACAATGGCTGGGACTGGGATGGGCCAAAACTGGGAAGTGGAAACTCAATTTTGGTCTTCCACGTGGGTGGCAGAGACTCAACCACCTAACCCCCCCCCCCGCCTCCCAGGGTGCACATTAACATGAAGTCAGAATTATGAATAGACTGGGGATGTGAACCCAGCCCACAGATGTGAAATAAACCTCAACGGACGTTTCAACTACTTGTCCAAATGCCTGCTCCAGAGAGAACATGTTTTATTTATCAGTGTGTACCCAATGCTTAATACAATAGTGTACAAGGAATATTTGTTGAATGAATGAGTGGACTCGGGGTGTGGTGTCCAGATTGATTTCTGAAAATTGAAAATAGGTTCTTGGGTAGGGTTGAGGACAAGCAATGGTGGTGAGGGATACAGGGTGGTGCAGGTTGATGAGATGAGACTGGAATAAGGATCGTTGTATCCTTTCAATCACTGGAGTTGCTAGAATTGATAATGAGGTAGCAGGTGCCCAGGAGATCTTATTGCCTCAGCCCATGCTATTTTATTCCTCTCTCTGGCTGGCTCAGTACTCCCTGCGGGGCTAGTTCTGTGGTCTTTTCTGCTTGCAAGGGCACCCATGTGTTTAGGCACCACTGGGGAATGCTGGATTGAGAAGCCAGAGAGTCTGACTTTTTAGGAGCTGTGGTCAAACCACTGCTGGTGATGCCTGAGTATGCACGTGAAATTCTCACCCTTCAGGTACACAATTCCTTATCTTCTGTTCTCTCTCTCTCCCCCTCATTCTCTCTTTCTCTCTGGATCCTAAGGCTTCTGCCCGCATCCCTGTCTCTAATTTACAGCCCTGGTTTCCTCATTATGGCTCTTGTATTCCCTATGTATTCTATGCTGGACTGCTCTTGCCTCAAGCTAGAAAACTTACCTCTCCCTGATGACGTATTCCTCTTTTACAGCCTGTACTGCCCTAAGCCCACCCTAACTTCTAACCTTTAAGTCCCTTGTCTTTAATACCTGCACCTATAGCTTTGCAGTGTCTCAATGCCTTAAGTTCAGCCTACTACAGTTCAGGGATTTAAAATAGTTCAATGCTTCCTTCCCACGTTCTTTTAGTTGCGGAGAGTTGGGACTATGCCCTCGTCACGGGTGTGATGAACTTACTGCTTGAGCAGAGTGGAAAATGAAATACCTCCATGTTTTTGTCTGAACTTCCCTCTTGAATTCTGAAATGCTGAGGAGTCAGAAAGGACTGCTCTGTAAATTCAAAGCCTGAATAATCTTCAGAGATCTTTGTTTATTTGGCTTTTAGTTTTTCTTTTTTTAAAAAAAACAGGTTTATTGGGGTCTGGTGCGGTGGCCTAGCAGCTAAAGTCCTCACCTTGCACACGCTGGGATCTCAAATGGGTGCTGGTTCTAACCCCAGCAGCTCCACTTTCCATCCAGCTCCCTGCTTATGGCCTGGGAGAGCAGTTAAGGATAGCCCAAAGCTTTGGGACCCTGAACCCAAGTGGAGACCCAGAAGAGGCTCTGGGCTTCTGGCTTCGGATTAGCACAGCTCCGGCTATTGTGGCTGCCTGGAGAGTGAATCATCGCACGGAAGATCTTACTCTCTGTCTGTCCTCCTCTCTGTATATCTGACTTTCTAATAAAAAAAAATATTTTTAAAAAACAAATTTATTTTTGTTGGGAAGCAAATCAGATGGAGAGAAAGATCAGATTTTCTGAGAGGAGAGATAAAGATCTTTCATCCGCTGGTTCATTCCCCAAATGGACACAATGATTGGAGCTGAGCCGATCTGAAGCCAGGAGTTTTATCCGGGTCTCCCATGCGGGTGCAGGGTCCCAAGGCTTTGGGCTGTCCTCTACTGCTTTCCCAGGCCACAGGCAGGGAGCTGGATGGGAAATGGAGCAGGTAGGACATGAATTGGCACCCATATGGATCCTGGCACTTACAAGATGAATTAGTCATTGAACCATCATGCCAGGCACTGGTCTTCTTCCTGAAGTTTGTTTATTTAACTTTTAAAAATTATTTTTCTTTTCTATTTTTATCTTCAGAGATCTTAAAAGAGATACATTAGGCTGTGGGTAGAATGGGACATTATCTGTCTGCAGTTACATAGCAGCTAACAACACTCAGAGCCTTAAAACAATAAACATGTGTTATCTCACATATTTTCTTGGTCAGGAATTCAGAACGTGGTTCTGGTGCAGGAACTCAGGACGTCACAGTTATCCAAGTAATCCACTTACCGGAGGATCCGCCTCCCAAACTCCCTCCTGCGCCTTTGCTCTGCGAAGTCCTCAGACACGTCAACCCCTCAGTACCTGGCCCTCTCATAGCACTGCAGTTGACTCTTAGACCCAAAGATCCAAGAGTGAGCAAAACAGGGCCCAGCGTGCCTGCTCTACAGGCCCATCTTCAGTCTAAGCACCAACATCCATATGGGTGCCGTTTCTGGTTCTGACTGCTCCGCTTTCTATCCAACTCCCTGCCTATGGCCTGGGAGAGCAGCAGAGGATGGCCCGAATGTTTGGGCCCCTGTATCTACCTGGGTGCCCTGGAAGAAGCTCCTGGCTTTGGATCAGTCCAGCTCTGGTTATTGCTGTCATTTGTGGAGGAAATCAGCAGATGAAGACCTGTCTCTCTGTAACTCTGTCTTTCAAATAAAAATAAATAAATTAAAAAAAAAATAAAACAAAAGCCATGAGTTAGAACCAGAAGTACCAGAAGTACATCACTATTCTGTTGACCTTACAGACTAGCCCCACTTGAGTGTGGAAGAGAACTTCACAGAAGTCTGAGTACCAGGAGGGAGGGGTCATTGTTGCCTACTTCAGAGACTGGCCCTTGCAGAGATGTAGAGGGAATTGGAAAAAGAAGAGGGAACCACTTTTATTGAAATGGCAGCTTTACAGAGAGGAGAGACAGAAAAGATCTTCTATCCACTGGTTCACTCCCCAAGTGATCTCAAAGGCCAGAGCTGAGCTGAGGAGCCAGGAGCTTCCTCTGGGTCTCCCACACGGGTGCAGGGTCCCAAGGCTTTGGGCTGTCCACGACTGCTTTCCCAGGCCAAAAGCAGGGAGCTGGATGGGAAGTGGGGCTGCTGGGATTAGAACCGGTGCCCATATGGGATCTCGGCACTTGAAGGGGGAGGATTAGCTAATTGAATCACTGCAGCCAGCCCTGCTCTGCTTTTTAAATACCTAAATAGATCCTGTTAAAAGCATTTATAAGCTCATTCAGGCATGAAAGAAACAATGAGGTTTGGAGCCGATTTCCCATCAGATGTATGTTGAGGTTGATTCAGCTTCAGGCAGGCTGAGTTGTGGGCACTGCTGGAATCACAACTTTACAATCCTCTCCTGTTATTTCCTAGGCACTTTGGTAGGGAATCCTGCAGTCACATTTATCAGCGCTGGGAGTAACGCCGCGTTGAGATTCAGCTCCAGGTCACAGTCACCATGGAAACCAGGTGTCTCCAGGGGTTAGTAAAGGGGGAAACACGCAGACGCAGACCGAACAATGAATGACCTCGGCAGCAGGGGCATGGCCCCCACTCGTAATCGTTGGTTGAACTTTACAGTGACTTTGGACTCGGGAAAGACTTCTACGCGACTGCATGTTCTGTTCACAAAGTTTCTGCGGGGAAAATGAGCAGGACCCGAGTTTTAGAAACACACCAGGTGTAGCAGCGATTGTTACCACAAAAGGAGAGGACAATGTGATAGGAAGGGGATTTCTGACGTCGCATTTTACACCCTCTTACAACCGGCTGTGAACAGCTCCAATGTCCAAAAGAGCGGCTAGGTGGGCAGGAAGTTCCTAAGAAATTGAGTCCTAGAGTCCCGGTAACAGAAGCAGCTGAGCCACCTCGGGCCCCGCGCAAATCACCGCGCGTCTTCCCTCCTCGCTCCTTCACGTTCCTTCAGGGTGAGCTTTCCAGTACCTTAACCGGTCCCTGGGTGAGGTCACCCGGCCCGGTCACGTGCTCGGCCCCGCGGGAGCGCCACATCGCCAGCCGCACCCCTGCACCCCCACCTGCCCACGTGACCCGGCCTACTTTCGCCAGCACCGGCTCGGCGCCGCGCCGCCAAGCCCCGCCCCCCGCGCCGCGCGCTCCGCCTGCGAGCCTCCGCCCCTCAGCCGCCCCAGCTCCAGCGTGGCCCGTGGCCCCACGTGCTTCCTCTGGCCCAATGGGAGTCGGCGCCCGGGAGTGAGGGGGCGGGGCGGACAGAGCAAACTTGGTGACGTTAAGGAAAAGGGGGCGGGGCCTGCAACGTCGGGGAGAGAGAACGAGGGGACGCAACGGAGGCAGGCCGGAGCCGCTGCCGTCGCCATGACCCGTGAGCATCGAGACCCCTTCCTCTGTCCCTTTTCTTGTCGCCCATGCTGGAGGCGATCGCCGGACCGCCGGACATGGCTTCCCGAAAGCTTCCCCAGCCAGTCCTTTCTCTGGGAGCGCCCTTTCGCTGTCCTCACACTGGGCCCGGAAATGGAGCCCTTTGCCCAACGGCGTCTTCACGAGGACTCTCCCGTTAGGAGTAGGCCCGTTGCGGTCTCCGGCGGGGCCGACACGCTCTGGGTGTCCGTGTAGGCCTGGAGCCTCCTAGCCCAGGGTCAGCCCATCCCCCGCGGGACCCGCACCTGTCCGGGAACGCACGCCGCCCCGCTCACCAACTCCTTCCGCACTGCCCGCCGGCCCCTTGCCCCGCTCCCGAGCAGACCCTGAAAGCAGCTGTGTCGGGGTCGCCGGGAAGCCACGTCCCGCCTCGGGGAAAGGGTCGCTCGCGTGTGGCCAGAGCGGCCTGCAGCCTCACCTTGTTCCTTCCTTTTCTTTAGGCGGTAACCAGCGCGAACTCGCCCGCCAGAAGAATATGAAAAAGCAGAGCGACTCGGTTAAGGGAAAGCGCCGAGATGACGGGCTTTCTGCTGCCGCCCGCAAGCAGAGGTAGCCCCAGGGAGGGGAGGGTCGGGCCTGGCGAGGGAGACCCGGGTTAAGCAGAGGGCTATACCAGGAGAGAGAGCTACCTCAGGGCTGGAATCTGAACTAGTCATGAGGGGCAGGGTGCATTGCTTCCTGCAGGGTTTTATTTCCTGCTCGCTCTCCCTGCAAATTGTTAGCTCACGGCCTTACAGGAAGGCACTGGGGCGGGGGAGGGCCTGCCCACAGTCTGGTTTGGCAGTGTCCCTCGGTCTGACCTTAAAGGGCAAGGGCAGTGAGCGTCACATTTCAAACACAGTTGTTCCATGACTGTCCCATACTTTTGGCCCTTCTTGCTGTTCCTTTTCCGCCCCTGCTCCTGACAGACCGACCTTCTCCTAGGCTGTATGGCTGGGTGTGGTACTCCGCACAGAACAGAGAGCCTTTGGCCCCTGTGGCTGACACTTTTGACCCCTTGGGCAACAGCCACATGGAGACTGGTTGTCTTGTGGAGCCTCAGCTCTGTTCCTCTTGTTCTCCTAGGGTGGGGATCTAGCCGTCCCACACTGAACTTTGTCCCATCCACTTCCATCTTGTCCCTTGTGCCCTTCATCCCCCTGCATCTTGTCCTTTTTGCCCTCTGGTACCTCCCAGTGCCCCATCATCTCTACCCCCAGGGACTCGGAGATCATGCAGCAGAAGCAGAAAAAGGCAAACGAGAAGAAGGAGGAACCCAAGTAGCTTGTGGCTTCGTGTCCAACCCTCTTGCCCTCCGCCTGGGTGCCTGGAGCCAGTCCCACCATGCTCGCGTGTCCTGTAGTGCTCCCAGGTCCCAGCACCGATGGCATTCCCCTTGCCCCAAGTCTGCAGCCGGGTCCCTTTTGTGCTTCCTTCCCCTCAGGTAGCCTCTCTCCCCCTGGGCCACCCCTGGGGGTGAGGGGGTTGCCTCTTCCCAGTGTTTTTTATTCCTGTGGGGCACACCCCAAAGTATTAAAAGTAGCTTTGTAATTCCTTGAGCGCCTGGTTTGACTGGGGATTTGGGGGGAAGGGGATTGGAGGAATGACTGCCCTTTCCTACCAAAGGGGGAGAGCTCTTTAGATTCCTAAAGAGGTTGTGGATATGTAGACTTAGTAAGTGAAACATCACAGGAGAAGCCTTATTTATTGTTTTGTGTCAGCCAGGATAAGATGTATGTGGTAGAGGATTCCTTTAAGAACCATAGAAACTTCTTTTCTGTGATTTTTGTCCCCTACCCAGACCTCGAACACCAGCCCAACGATGGAGTTGGGAGCCTGAGGGAAGGCTCCAAGACCTAAGTTTATAGATTTCCTCCTCATTGTTCCTCAGTTCGTTCGTCTGCTTGTAAGTTGGCCAAATATTCCTGCTGCTCACTGATTTCTGTGGTCAGCTGCTCTCAAAGCATTCACATTCTCTCCTTTGATTCTTGAGGGTGGGTTCTCTCTTGCCACTTAGCCCTAGACCTCCAAATCAGGATTAAAACCTGAGGTAGTCTCTGCTGCTTTCTTGCTATGTCCTGATTGGTTCTGGGCTTACATCGCTGAGCTCAGGCTGAACTGATTTTTTTTTTCTTCTCTGGGCAGAGCTAAGTCTTTAGTCCCTGGTCTTTCCCCACCCCCACCTCAGCTCAAGAGCCAGGAAAGGGCTGGTGCCACACTGTCTGCTGTAAATTAGTAGTGGTTCCTGAGTTGCTGATTTGGGAGTTAGGCTTTTGAACTGGGGTGAAGACATATGGTAGCTCTAGTGAGGGTGTGTGCAGCTGACTAATTCTCCCAATTCAGACATAGTAATGGCCTAAGCCTAAGGGGACATGGCTCCCCATGCTGTCCTTGAGGTACTGAGCTGTGCTGGACAGTTTACCTGAGCCTAGAGTAGGAGTACAACCTCAGGAACCAGAGTTTGTTAGGACACAGGCCAGAGGCTTGTTATCTGGTGACAGTGATCCGATGGCAGTGTTGCCTGAAGACAGGAGGAGGCTGGGAAGCTGGGGTGGGAGACCAGCAGAGCGGTGCCAGTAACAGTCCTGCAGACAGGAGTACACAGGCCCAACATGAGGCGACTTTAACCCAGAAGGTAGCCCAGCTACCCTTGGTGAAGGTCTTTTCCAGTTCTGCTCCTTCATAGCTGTGGAACCAAAGATTTGGTTAAAGATTATACAGCACCTTAGCTTTTAGATCTGGCTTGTCTCCCCACCCAGCTGTGCTTTTGGCCCTGAATTAACCTTTCCCCTAATATAGCCCAGTTTCCAGGAGAGTGTCTCAAGGCCATTTTTCTGCTACCTGAACCAGTTGGTAAGCGTCACCATGACGTATAGTGAGGCAAGGAAGAAGATAAAATGAAAGGCAGAGTAGCTGTAGGAAAGCTGCTGGCCTTGCACTGGAGGAGCCTGGGGTGTCTCGGGGTCATCTTGCTTGGCAGTCCCAGCCCTCTGCCCTGTGGAGAGGAAGGGCTGTTGACACCAGTGGTGCTGGGACACCTCTTCCCACCCCACCCACTCCTGTGCAGGCTCCGGAGGGCTCTCTGGCTCTCCATGGAGATGGGCCATTTCCTAGGGCTCCTCAGAGGATCACTCACCATCCTCAGGCTCCACGGTTGGAGGGCAGCAGAAGCAGAGTGAGGGCTTCTGCAAAGCAGACAGCAACAGGTTTAGAATGGCTTCACAGGAATATGAGGGGGTTACTTTAGGGGACCACCTGCCCTCTCCCAACAAAGATCTTTGCCTAGTGTAAAAGTTGGAGGCACATCTGGGTTCAAATTCTAGCTCCAGCACATAACTGGCTATGCAAACTTTGGCAAGATGTTTATTATTTTGTGCCTCAATTCCTCCATTTGTAAAAAGGAGCAAATTACCTACCTCACAGGGTTGTTGTGGGGATTAAATTAAATGAGACTGTGTATGTAACTTACCTAGCACAGTGCCAAGCACATTGTGGGTACTTAATAAAAGGTAACAGCAGCTAGAATCTGAGCATTCTGGGTAGAGGCTGGTAGGATGTGTGCCTGCGTGTGCCTGTGTGTGTGGGTGGGGAGGGTACTGGGGCTGTAGAGCTTTGGATCCTCACCTGGAATTCGTGGCTATAAACCTTGATAATCCACAAGGGCCCAAATACTTCAGCCAGGTAGGAAACTTCATTGCTGAGAAAGAGTTAAATTGGTTCAGTCATAGCAGGAGGAAATGTCTGGGGGTCCATATGGTGATTTTTGGGAAGGTGTTCTCCCTGAGCAAGGTCTTAGAAATCTGTTCATAACTCAGGGAGGGAGGGTATGGTGTGCCTCAATCTTCACATACAACATTCTCAGATCATTCTTCCAGTACCCTTCAGCTCATACATAGCATGTGACAGTGCTGCTCTCAGAGGCTGCCTGCCCCTTTTCCCTTGGCTTGCTGTCGAGTTTAAATAAGTCACATTCCTAGGCTCTTCTGAACACCCCTCTGTTCTGGGGATCCTCTCCTCGCACCTCTCCCCTGGACACCTGTACATACCAAGCCAGAAGCACACATGCATACATGAAGCCAGCACTCAGCATTGCTAGCAAGGTGTCTGGCGTCTGGGGTTCCAGTTCCCTCAAGCCGGGCAGGCACAGGCTGTGATTCTTTCCTTGAAGGATTACTGTGATGGGGGAACAGAATGAGGACACGGAGCTGGGTAGTTAGCAGGAAGAACAACATAATCTCAGCAGAATGTCCAGGTTCTGTGCCCTACCTCTTTCTGGAGGACGACTAGACAGTGCAGAGAAGGTCAGATAAATGATATAGCAGCTGATGATAGAGGCTTGCAGAAGGCCAGAGCGGGGTTGTTCTGAGAGCAGATGGCACTGCTTTAGCTTATAAGTGGTTATTGCCTGCATTACTAGCCCCACCTGCCTTTGTGACTCCCCTCCCGTTGGGGGAAGCAGAGATTCTTAGAGGCTGTTAAGGAGGTCACTGAAATCTATACTAGGGGCCCACACTACTCTGTTGCAGGACATATACCCACTGAGGCGGATGCAAGGAGTGATGGAGAGGACAGAGAGCAGGACGCAGAAGCAGAGGTGCAGGCTAAGCAGCATCTTGTTGAGCAGGCAGCCAGCTGGGTGTGTGTAGTGACGGAACAGAAGCACAGCTCCCACTCCTGCCAAGCTGTAGAATCCGAAGGAAGCCAGCAGCACAGCTAGGAACCAGCTGCAGTCTTGGGCTGCACCTGTCTGCCTAAGGGTGGGAGGTGGGCACGGTTTAGCACTGAGACTTCACTGTTACCCAGTACCAACTCTCTCCCCCTAGAAGATGTGCCCTGCTGAGTCATGACATTCCTGAGTTTTCTGATACTGTTCAGTGGGACGTTTTGGGACTAATGACTGACATGCGCATTGCCCAGCCCTTCTGCATCCAGCAGTGCTAGACAGCCTCCTCAGGAAGAACTCCCTTACCAGTTCTTGTCCCAGGAATGGGCAAAGGCTGTGATAAGCACCAACTGTAGTAGGATGAATGTGAAGCCTCCACAGATGCCAATGTAATGCCAGGCTACAAATTGGGCGACAATGGGAAAATGTAATGTTATGTCATTTTCGCCTGCTATTGTTAATCAAGGTGTGAAATGGAGAGTACCTGGGAAGAGGTGCTCATCAGGAATGCAGAAGGCAACAGCACAGAGGCCCAGCAGGAACAGCAGTTTGAGGAGCCAGAAACTGGTGAGGACAGAGAAAACCTGGCTCAGGTGAAAAGGCAAAGGAGAATGAAGAGTGCTTCTGGGGGAAGGCAGAGAGCAAACAAATACAGTAAAGGGGCACAGTGTGTCTACTCAGTATAGGAAAGAAGGAGCCATTCTGGGGTATGGGCCTGCATTCTATGCAGGTCTGTACAGCAAATTCTGACTCCAGGTACATGAATGACATTATTCAATTTACTACGGGTTTGCATACGATAATCTCACTGTTACCTCTACTTTAGTGTGGCTCATAGTCACACAGCAGGTAATAACACAACCTGTTTTTTGTGTCTTCACAATGCTGTTACTTCATCCCAGAATTCTTTCTGCCCATCTTGTACGTCTACTTTTCTTTTTGTCCCCTCCCTGCCCAAAGAGTACACACAAACCTATTATGCAGCTGTGCCCGTGGGCTGGTGGGGGAGTGGAGGTGGACCAGTGCCACAGCCTGCAGCAGGTGGAACATGGCAGTTCCTGCGCATACCCGGTACACAGCACCAGAGCCACTGAGCACTGGACAGTCCGAGTGGCCAAGTAGGTGGGCACACAGCCCTGCTGGCATCTGGATCTGGAGGGAGCGTGTGTGTGAGACAGAAGGGTAGCCCCTGACACGAGGAGGGGCACCTGCCTCTCGTGGGATATGTCTGTTTATTTGTAAGTGTCCCCAGTCCAAGCCTCTTGTCCATTTCTGGGGCTTCTTTTTCTTTCCCCACCTTGCAACCCCATCCCCTCTCACTTACCCCACGTTCACTTCCCCAGACCCTTTCTACTACCGTCCTTGAAAGCAGGAGGCAGCAGACTGCTGAGGCCCCCACATGGAGGAGGGTGTAGAACAGGCGGCTACAAGCAGACTCTGTTAGAGACAGCCACCTAGAGTGGCAGCTGGAACAAGGAACAGCCCCACAGCAGGACACCTGGGGACAGAGCAGACACCAGCTGCAAGGGTGAAGATTGTAAGTTAACGTACATGTGAGATGAACCCTTCCGAATGAATTCCAGAATTCCCCCAGCCTCCTTCCTTTTCTAAGATCTTTCAGATTCCTTCACTCTAAACATCTGGGACTAGGAAGATGTGCAGGTCACAGGACACTGGCGATGAAAGCCTGGGCAAGCTTACTGGCCTCCCCTCCCCCTTCAGCCACCCTGCGGGAAACTTTTCCTCGCTTGAGGGAAGCTTTCACTTCTGTCTCCCCTAGCCTGCCCTCACCTCGCTACGACATTGCTGTGCTGCCAGGCCCCAGGGAGCTGCCGGCACCAGTGGCAACCCTTGCACCCACCATCTTTGTCCTTGGGGTTCGGCCCAGGTCCACCGGGAAGAAAGGCAGGCAGATGAGAAAGTAGCAGGGCGCTGTCCTCAGCCCGTGGGCTGGTTAGCAGGGGCCGAGCACGCCTGGGGCCGTGAGGATGCGAGTGCAAATGCCCTTGTGAAAGTGCTGCCTTTCCGGGCCTCCCTCGGGCAGTGCTCCCCGGATTAGGGGGCAGTTCCTCGCCTCCAGCGGATTAGCTTTAGGATTAGACCTCCTCCGTCCAGGGAAGACAGATCCGTGGGGGAGAGGCGGGGCCGGGGGAGGAACTGGGCGAGAGAGGAAAGGGCATCGCGCTGGGGCGGTTTGGGGTGGTGACGCGGGACAAATGGGATAAGGTTCTGCTAAACACTACACGCCTGAAGGGAAGTCGGAGATGGGAAACGCCTTCCTCGCGGAAGCTTCTAGAACGGGAGCACAAAGGGGGTGTGGCTTAGCGCCAGCACCGCCTCCCCTAAGGCGGAAGTTGCTGGCCGGTTGCCGGAAGTGCCGGGCGTGGCCTGGTCGGCCCCGCGGGCGGAGTGAACATGGCGACCGAGGGGGACGTGGAGCTTGAGTTGGAGACTGAGACCAGCGGCCCGGAACGGCCTCCCGAGAAGCCGCGAAAACATGACAGCGGAGCGGCGGACCTGGAGCGTGTCACCGACTATGCGGAGGAGAAGGAGATTCAGAGTTCCAACCTGGAGACGGTGAGGTCGGCCGCGAGCGTGCCTGGGCGGGCTGAGCAGAGCGGCTTCCGAGCGGCGTCTGCAAGTCCGCGGAACCACCTCCCGTGCGGGGCCCGGCGGCGGGAGGACCCCGGGCCGGAGGACGGACGGTGGCGGCGGGAGGACCCCGGGCGGGAGGATGGTGCACTGGAACCTGCGGCCGCACGCTTGAATTAGACCTAGTGCGCGGTTGCTGATGGCGCTGGCCACCGTGCGTGCTGGTTCTCGGGATGTTAAGGGCACTGTGGTCAGCGGAGCGGTAACTGGATCTGTCTGCATCCTATAGGCCATGTCGGTCATCGGAGACAGACGCTCCCGGGAGCAGAAAGCTAAACAGGAGCGGTAAGTGAAGTGCACAGCCGGCACTACCGTTTCCTTCCTTCGTCATCAGGCTTGAGGTTTTACTACGAGTGCTGCAGACCCAGAGTTTGCACTTTTGTGTTAATGGCAGCAAGGTGTCTTGGGAACATGGAGATATTGTTGGAGACTATTTTTATTTTCATGTAACAGCTTTTCAGGATTCCTTTAGCTGCAGGGCATAGCTTGGAGTGCTCCTCCATGGGAGTTTATGGTGCAAGTAGAGAACGGGGACTAACACACTTAAATATGTGCAGGGAGAAGGAGCTGGCAAAAGTCACAATCAAGAAGGAAGATTTGGAGCTGATAGTGAGTAGTAATGCCTAGCCCGGTCGGGCAGGGAGGTGGTGTTGGGGCGGGACATTGACACAGGGAGGAGACCTTGGTAATGGGACGCACCCTTTTCCTGCAGATGTCAGAGATGGAGATCTCTCGAGCAGCAGCGGAACGGAGCTTGCGGGAACACATGGGCAACGTGGTAGAAGCTCTTATTGCCCTAACCAACTGAGAAGTGCTTGCTCATACATACTTATTGTTTACTGCTTAACTTATTGTAATAAAAATTTTTTTTTTTCTGTTTTGTCGTTTTGGATTAAGTGAAATGTAGGTCACATCTTTTTGTGGGCAGTTTACATGTTGAGGTTTAAATGAATTTAATGACCCTCTTCCCTCCCACAACCCGAGAATCAGTTCCTTGTGTTCAAATGCAGTGGCTGACCAGTCTCGTTTATTTAAGTCCTCCAGCAGTTACTGTACTGCACTGGCCTGTCTCCAGGACAGCTTAATAGTTGGAAGGCCAGCACAGCCTCCTAGCTGCCGTGTGTAGATGCAAGTTTTCCACCCAGCTCACAGTCCTCAATGAATTCGAATTTAGGTATCATAGATAGGAGCTTGCAAAGATCAGCGGCCTGACAGAATTGATCTATGAAAGATTTGAGCTCTGAACTTTAAGGTATACATGCCATTTGTTCTAATAGAAAAGATAGTCAAAATCATTTTGCTTTAGAAAGTTGATCAACAGTGGTGAAGTCAGGTCCACTAAGCTTGTTTCCTCAACTGTAAAGCATCCCTAGTAACTCAGACCCAGTGAGTTGGTGAATGAGAAAGCTTGACTGGGCACCTGCTCCAGAGTCAACAAACAATGACTATAACATATGCTTTTCCAGAATTTCAAGGCCTTACTGTTTTGGCTTTAGGATAGTTTTAGATTGTATTCCATACAATACCAACAAATCTTTTTTATTGTATAATTATTTACACTTTTTAAATCCCAGGACATTAAAGTTTAAGAGTGATTGTTTTAGTGCGGCATTTAAAGGATGTGAAGGCCTCAGTCTTCTCACTGATCAAATTGTGCTGCTATGGCCCCCCCAGAACTCTGGAAATGTCATATGCATGGTGGTTATATAGTAACTCTTAAATATGACTTTAGGGACTGGCACTGTAGTTAGGCCTCTGCCAGTGGCACCATTATGGCCCCAATTTGCATGCTGGTTATTTCACTTTTGATCCAGCTCCCTGCTAATAGCCTGGAAAACCAGTGGAAGATGGCCCAAAGACCCACATGGGAGAACCTGAGAAACTCCTGGCTTTGGACTGGCCCAGTTCCAGCTGTTGCAGCCATTTAGGGAGTGAACCAGTGGATGGAAACACTTTTCCACTCTGTAACTCTGCCTTTCAAAAAATCTTAAAAAGAGGTTCCCCCACCCCCCCATAGCCTAGCACCTTAAATCCTTGCCTTGAATGCCCTGGGATCCCATATGGGTGTCAGTTCTAATCCCAGTGGCCCTGCTTCCCATCCAGCTCCCTGCTTGTGGCCTGGGAAAGCAGTCAAGGATGGCCCAATGCCTTGGGACCCTGCACCCCCATGGGAGACCTGGCTTCGGCTCACCTCCAGCCATTGTCACTTGGGGAGTGAGTCAACAGATGGAAGATCTCTGTCTCTCCTCTCTGTATATCTTTGTAATAAAAATAAATCAATCTGTTAAAAAAAGGAATTTAACCATAGCATGTTGTTTGGAGAGCTTCGGTGCCTTCCTCAATATATATGATGGGTAAGAACATCACATCCTTATGGTCATTTGGCTTTAGTAAGACTGGTGCCACACAAAGATTATGGTCAACTTTTGTTCTATGTACAGTAAGACAGCAAGGATAAATGCATATACATTTGCTCATGAGAAATCAGTGCTAAAGTAAGTGTTTCTGAGACTACAGGGGCAGAGGACAGTCAAAATACAAAACATTCTCTGTTGGATCCTCTGCTTTTACATAATATGTGGTTAATACCAGCCTGTACATTTTATGTTAGCAACATGATAAAAATCTTGGGTGTGTGGCTTTATTTGAAACTCACAAAAATTAGATTCTCTTAGAAAACTGACTCCAATTAAATATGCAAAACATTTCAACGAGCTTAGATTTCATGGTTTGTTACTCCTAACCTTTAGAAGTGAGGTACTGTCCACTCCACTTCCATGCTCACGTTTCTGATCCACGCGAAGGGGATGGAAGAAACAACAGTCCCAAGTAAATATGGGAAACCACAGCACTGAGGAAACCCAAGATTTCTCAGTTTTAAGTGGGAAGCCTCAACTATCTGGATAGTGCTTTTCTGAAAGATTCTCAGCATGAATCCAGACCTCAGAAAGTACCTTTAAGCCTTGGGCTACCTGGTATCACAAGTATGGCAGAAGGTCCAACAGCCTGGATACAGGAGCCATATAAATAATGGGAAGAACAAACTGAAGACCAGATTGGTGAGACTTCTTGTGTCCCATAGTTGAAAGAGTTAAGCAGTTGAAATCTAGGTAGTTTTCCGTTTCTTGGCAGATGGTCGCTCAAATACATCTCGCACCCCAGCTGCTTTCTGTTTAAAGAACTTGGTGTTCTGGGCACTTTCTTGGCCCCATGCAGAGTCAAAGGACGTGGTATCTTGATCCACAAGGTGAGTATATTTGGTACGACCAGAGCGCCCAAAGTTCTTGACCTGAGGGAAGGAGGGATGATGAGTTAAATATAGCACCAAACATACTATGTCTCTCTCTTCAAAACAAAACTTTCAGGTTGCTAAGGTTCTCCATACCTGCATGACTTTAGGAAGGATGGTTTTGTTGAAATGATCCTCCAGGGTGGGTGCACTGAAATCTCTCTTGTATACTTCTTCATCCTCATCCTGTAGAAAAACATTAGTCCTTTTAGTTCTATTCCTTTTTATTCAAATCAGAATAAATTTATTTAACTCTACAATAAAGGTTACAAGAGATTATTGACCCTTTTGTCATACACTTGCACCAGTTACTGTAATTCATGTGCCTGCAACTGTCAGCAGGCCTCTCAAGTCTGAATTGTCTACTATGTCTTTTATAGTTTTAACAAGTATGTTATTAAATGGAGATAGGGCCCTGGTTCATGTCCTGGCTGCTCCACTTCCCATCCAGTTCTCTGCTTGTGGCCTGGGAAAGCAGTCAAGGACGACCCAAAGCCTTGGGACTGTGCCCCCTCATGGGAGTCCATGTCTTAACTGTACATAGAACAAATGTTGACCATGACTCATGTGTGGCACCAGTCTTACTAAAGCCAAGTGACCATAAGGATGGGAAGCTCCTGGCTTTAGACTGGCTCAGCTCTGACCATTGCAGCCACTTGGGGAGTGAAGCAACACGCAGATCAGATAATCCTCCCTGTAAATCTGAGTTTCCAATAAAAAAAAAAAGGGGGGGGGGCTTTTATCAGCTGGTTCACTCCCTAAAATGCTTGTAACAGCCAGGGTTGGTGCAGGCTGAATTCAGGAGCCACAAACTCCATCTGGGTCTCCTAAATGGGTGGCAGGAACCTAATTACTTGAACCATGATCCACTGCCTCCCAGGCACATTAACAGGAATCTGGATGGGAAACCTAGAGTAGCTGGGAGTACATAAGAGATTTTGGTGTCCCAGGAGTGACTTAAAAACCACTGTGTTACAACAGTCCAGAATTTAACTTCTTTGTAAGCACGGTCACATTCTTAGTTACATAGATTTGAAACTGGAGTACTCTTTGTGTAGAATCAATGAGCTATCACATCTTAAAAACTCATCACCCAGCTTTATAGATTTTTCCCCTGACAATTTTGGTTTTACTGTCACTGCATTAATGTTTTTAGAATACAATTCTGACTGTATCTCTGTGTTGCCCAAACACTGATGGTTCTGTTTCATTAAACATAAGCTCTATAAAAGTTAGAAGTTAAGGCCAAAAAAAAAAGTTAAGGCCAAATATATAGCCTTAATCTACCTACTTAGCTCTCCTTGTCACTTTCTTTTATAGATATTACCTTTCGTCTCCACTCTGGGGTTATTTCCACTTGGATACATCTTAAGTGTTTCCTTGTACGTAAATCACTGTTTCCAATCTACTATGAAATGCTAACATCTCCCTGATCAGAGCTGCCAGAGTACTTTCAGACTTCCTTATGTAACAGTACATGTTGGCCATATCCCCACTTTTAGACTGTGAACCTTCTGAGGGAAGAATAGCACTGCTAAGTGACTTTCATATACACTTAGTGAATATAAATAACTATAGAGAATACTTTCAAACTGATGGAGATTATACATGCTGAAACATCATTTTGGTTTAGAAAAGGACCAGTGTAAATAATGAATTATTAATAGTTTTTATGAAATCTACTTTTGTGTTTCACACTTGAAAGTCCCTCATTTAATTCCAGAAGCCATTTCAGTTTCACTTGCCTGTTCTAGTCAAACTTGAGCACAAGACCAACTTTCACCTAAGCTTTCCTTGTTGTGTCTTAGCAATACACTGCTTGATTAAAGCTGCTGAAATGCTTAAATAGATATACGTCATGACTTTAAAACAGGACAAGGAGTAATTCTAATTGCTACTGATTCTGGAAAACCATTTGTGCTGGAAATTTACACAATAAACATTTCCTGCTGAACAGTAAAACTAAATATCAGAGTAGAAGTTTTCAAATTGTATCAGTACCTTCAGTGAAGGGCAGGAATTCAGGGATATTTAGAGCACTTGAACAATTCAGGGATATATACAGCACTTGAACAAATTAATCTAATTTTTGATACAAACTTCTTTAACATTGGAAAATAATTTAAAAAACCATATGGTATCAGAATAACATGCAAATCAATTCTCCCATTACCTCTCCTGCTTTTCCTCTTAAACAATCATTGTGTTAATTCAAATAATTTTGGAAGACTTGTGTATCATTTTAAACAAGGTTAGCTTCTATTGAATTTGGTCTCCACATCAACTGAGGCAATGGCTTTTCACATAATGGTTTAGATAGCCACCCTTCTGCTTGGTTAGGTCGCTTAGTCACTGTCTGCTAACAATAAAGTAAACTCTTTTCTATTCTAATAGGAGTTAACGCAGAGCCATGTACACAGTTTGGTTTTCAGACAATAAAAAGTTCTAATTTGGCTATAAGATCTGGTATCTGTATAACCCAGTGGCTAACACTTCCTGGATGTACTCTTCAGAGGCAAAAAGCAAATTAGACAGTGGCAAGCGGAAATAGTATTTCAGAACAGCTTATTCTTGCAGACAAGGAAGGACCTTGCAAGTTACTCCTCCTGCCAAGTTTTCTTACTCCCTTTCACAGCTTACCATGAAGAAGGCACCGCGGTGATAATACTTCTGTAAAAACTTGTATTTGCCCTTCACAGCTTTGTTGGTAATGACTTTGCCATTTGCTCGGAGCTCAGCTCGCCTCTCTTCCTCAGTCAGGTTTCGCATGCGTTCAATTTCTGCTTTCTCCTTCTCAAGTCTGTTTAGGGAGCAAAATTATTTATTAGTATTGTCCTAGTTTCAAAGACATTGCCATCTGAAAGTCACACTCCTGTCTCCTTTCGGGCATTACTTGCTGTGTTTAACTCTAGTCTTTGCCTCTTAGGAATCAATCAGGAGTTGAAAAAATAAAAAGGTGAGTTGGTCTTTACTAGTACTATAAATGTCCAAAAGTTGATTCTAGCCTGCTTGACATTCAGGTATGCTTAATTTTGCATACTTATTCCTTCACCCTAAAAAGTCATCTTAGTTTGAAGAAAAAAAATTATTGAGTTTAAATAGCTACGTGACTGCTTTACGCAGTGCAACATCATCACCTATGTGCTCACATGTAACTAAGGGTTATTGTAGTCTTGCAGTTTTAACCTTTTTTGGCGGGGAGGAGAAGAGGGTTGCAGCTTTTCTTATAGGAACATTAAACTATAGGCTGAGGACACTTACCTACTGATCTATCTCTGTAACCTGGGATTACTTTCTTATGCCTAGTCAGTTACCGGAATGGGGGACACAGCTCAGAAATAATTTTGGTTTAACACAGTGAGTGAACTAGGTTGTTTAAATGCTATAAATTCCCCACCCCCCTCACTGTATGTAAACTCCTTTCCACTGCAACTTTGCAGCTCCTCAAGTCTAGAGGCATCCTATTTCTCTACTCCCTTGAACCTAAGATAGCCTTGAGATAAGAGATGTCCTGTCCAGATGAGGCAGGAGAATTTATAAGTTCTGGAACTTAAGCTGCCAACTTGTTTCTTTGCATTCTTGGAATGCTGCTCTGAGATTGCTAGAAAAGGAAGTTACTCAGGAAGTGAGGTGTTCCATCTGAGAGCACCAACTACCAGACTCGGGAATGAGGTCCTTTTAGACTCTGTGGCCCTGTTAATCCCAACAGAGGACTGTCACTCCACATCCAAAACAGAGAAATACTACACTGTGTTTCAAGCCTCTAAACTAGAGATAAGTGTAATAGTGAGTAACTTTGTATATCTTAACAGGAAAGTAAGTTTCTTCTCCCTGACTGCACTCTGACAAGTGAAACTTGTATTCCAATAATGGGAGGCTTGCACAGCCACAAGATCCCAGGAAAACTAGACCAAAACTCACGGCAGGGGATGGGACTCAGAGCTGTGTTATCAGAAACCTGTCAATGTTGTTACCTCTAGCTGCATCCTAGCACTTACGCTTCTCGATCTTCTCTGTCCCTCTTGATTCTTTTCAGCTCCCGAACTTTCCACGCCTCATACTCCTCCTCATCGTTTTCATCATCAGTGTTGAGTGCATCCAGTGCAGCCAGGGACCGCTTGTTCTCCTCAAGTTCTTTTTTGGTCTCTTCCTCTACGATCTGAATGGAAAGGAGAGTTCAGTCTCCTCAGGAAAATCCAATTCCATTATTTGTTGCTCTCTCATCCCTTGCGATCCCGCCCCAGCACCTTGAGTGTGTATTTGCGTCTCTCCTCCGCCATGCGCTTTGCTTCCTGCTCCAGCTCCTTCTGCCTCAGCGCTTCAGCCTCCCGCTCCTGAACGGTCACTCGGTCCTTCCTGTAGCACAGAGGCCCTGTTGTTAACTGCCCAAATCTTTAGAGTGGAGCTCTTTGTTCCCCTAGTGCTGGGCCCATCCTAATCACCAAAAGCCAAACAATGTTTGAACTCTACCATTAGAGAAGAACCCAAAGTGGGAGATATCTCAGGTCTTTAGACAAAGTTTATTCATCTTTCAGAACTGCCTGGATAGCAAGGAATCCCCTGGATTGCAAATAGTGAGATTACCAGTCATTAAAATAAAAAAAGCCAAACCATGAACTTACTTTTTATGCTTCATTTTTTGCTTAATTTGTAATCCTGAGCAGATCTGTGCTCTTTAACTGGGAAGGGAGATTGAAAACAAGCATAGGCTCTCTGCTAACACCATGGTATTTGGCAAAGGCACTGGGCAAAACGCTTTCACAAAGTGACTAGATTTCAGAGGGGCATCCGATATGAAAATATGCTTTTAGCCTCATGTGTAGATGGATTTGGACAGGCCTGTGATACTTACTTTCGGATGAAGACTGGCTTAAGCCGAGGCTCCATCTCATCTTCGCTGTCTGTGTACTCTTCATACTCAGACTCCGATTCTGATTCCTCCCCGGAACGTCCCTCGTCTTCCACCTCCATGACTTCCATCTCTTCATTTTTCCTCTCCTGTGCTCGCTGACGCATCATGCCACGACGCCGCTCTATTTCCTGTCATATCAGACAGCTAAGCTACCTGGTAAAATGCTCTGAAAGGGAACTATTTTTCCCTCGCCAGGCTCAAATTGTGATTTGAATAAATGTAACAGCATCATTCTATTATTTTTCATCCTATTCCCACCAAATAGGGAATATTATCAGAGTTCTGGCAGAAAGAACAATATGTGCCCATGGGGCTTTGAGAAATCAATACTGGTTCCAACTTCTTATATCCATAAAAGCCTCCCCATTTTCCTTTATCATACCTCATCATCGATTTCCTCCTCCTCTTCTTCACTACTGTCTTCTCTTTCCATGCGCCAAGCATCTCCTTCTATTTCTGAGTCACTTTCTCCTACCACTTCAGGTTCCACTATTTTCCGATGCCGAGCCAATCTGAAAAATGGTATTTCCAAGTGTAAAACCAATGTCATGAAAACACAGGAGTGCAAATCACATTTCATTTGTCATCCTGATATGTTTTTCCTCATTAATACTGAAGACTGATGATGAGAAGCAGATCAAAGAAACTAAATTAGAATGCTGAGAGCAGTCAAGTAGAAATGAAAACTTTAAGCATATGTTGAGAGGCATCCTAGGGTACCATAGCAAACTTACTGGGATAGTTTTAATAGCTCAGGGTATTTATTCAGGGCTACAACATTAGGTCACACTACATTCCCTTCAATGATATCACATCTGTTAAGCTGGATTTTTGGCAGTAAAAAGCAAATACAACATGAAAATATGGGGTGCAGTTATTGTGCTGCAGCAGGTTAAACCATCCCGTTGTGATAGGAACATCACACGTCAGTGCTGGACTGTGTCCTGCCTGTTTCACTTGGAACAGTGTAGTGAAGACAAAGACTGTTCAAGTCCTAGTTACTGGTACTGTTGTTGAGGGAGACACAGCCCCAGCCTTACCTCTCCTCCACATCCTCACTAATACGGTTCTGTAAACGCCGCAGCCGAGGGTCACTCGATGAATCCTCTTCCTGTTCTTCAGGCTCTGCTTCTTGTTCTTTGGCTTTCTTAATGAACTGAAATTCTTCATCCTCCTCATCGGAGGATTCCATAGGGGCATAGTCGGGCCTCTTCCCGGACACGTAACGTTTGACCTTCACTTTTTCCATCGAAATCTCACCTGTGAGAAAGATAATTTATGGTGTTTCTGCAGCCTATTTCACTATGTCTTTCATCCCTTGGGCAGGGCATGCAGAACAATATATTTTTGGTGGACAAAAATCTAAGCAGAAGCAGGTCACCTCTGACTCACCTGTTTAGTCCAAGTCACAGGAAGAAAACTTCTGTGAACACCAACCCCAATGGGGATGAAGTGGAGGAAGGGAGGAGGTGAATAACAGAAAAAAAAAAAAAGACCCTCAAAGGACAGACTGTATCCCTGCATCCATCACAAATTCAACGTATTTCACCTAAGCTACACCTGTAAGTTATTCCTAACAGTGCCCAGTACATGGTCAGGGTGGCTTTAGACGGAATGCAAAAGTAAAATGCTGTTCAGGCATTCTCCAATTCCTGCTGGAATATCCCGGCAGCCTTTATAACATAGTACCACATAACTCAACACGCAAATCTTACCTTTTTGCACCTTCTTTTCCTTTAGCTTATATGCTATCAACCCTTTAAGAGCAGGTAATCTCTCTTTTACAAAACAAACAATACAAGTAGAATGGGAGAACTAACCAGTTCAATTTCCTACTTCAGGAGAAAAAACTACAATTTTATTGGAAGAGAAATAGCCAAAACAATTTTGAATATAAATAAAGTGAAGTGGGATGGGGTTTGTATCAGATAGAAAAGTTTAAGCCTGTAATTTAAAATGACGTTTTCAACTCAAGAGTACATAGAGACTAACAGAGCAGAGAAACTTACAGAAGAGCTTGAATATACTCCCGAAGTGACACTAACAAAAATCACTCGAGAGGTGCTGGTTCCCTCCCCAGATGGCCCACAGCACCCAGGAGATTCTTCTGGATCTCCCATGTGGGTGGCAAGGATCCAAGGACCCAGGTCGTTTTTACTGTTTTCCCAGGTGCATTAGCAGGGAGCAGGATAGCACACGGAGCGACCAGGATGCGGGCGATGGCCCCACACACCACTCCAAAACACTGGTGCCCCGGCTCTGCTTCCTGCAGTTGTGCATGCTGCGAAGCAGCAGTGACCCAGACAGCTGAGCCCTGCACATCCATGCGGGAGGCTGAGCTGCACACTGCTTTCGGCCTGGTCAGTTCCAGTTGTTGCGGGCATTTGGGGTGTGTACCAGCACATGGAAGATGTCAGAAATGGGCTAGCGGAAGAGAAACTGACATCTTCACTGGCTTCTCTCTCTCTTTTTAAGATTTATTTATTTATTTTTTTTTTTTAAAGATTTATTTTTATTATTTTTTCATTGGAAAGGCGGATATACAGAGAGGAGAGACAGAGAGGAAGATCTTCCGTCCGATGATTCACTCCCCAAGTGAGCGCAACGGGCCGATACTATGCCGATCCGAAGCCAGGAGCCTCTTCCGGGTCTCCCACAGGTGCAGGTTCCCAAAGCCTTGGGCCGTCCTCTGCTGCTTTCCCAGGCCACAGGCAGGGAGCTGGAAGGGAAGCGGGGCTGCCGGGATTAGAACCGGCGCCCATATGGGATCCCGGGCGTGCAAGGCGAGGACCTTTAACCACTTGCGCCACCGCGCCGGGCCCAAGATTTATTTATTTTTATTGCAAAGTCAGATTTACAGAGAGGAGGAGAGATAGAGAAGATTTTCCATCTGATGATTCACTACCCAGGTGACCACAATGGCTGGAACTGTGCCGATCCAAAGCCAGAGCCCAGAGCCTCCTTCAGGTCTCCCACACGGGTATAGGATCCCAAGGCTTTGGGCCATCCTCAACTGCTTTCCCAGGCCACAAGCAGGGAGCTGGATGGGAAGCAGGGCCATCTGGATTCGAACCAGTACCCATATGGGATCCTGGCATGCTTAAGGCAAGGACTTTTAGCCACTAGGCCACAGCGCTGGGCCCTTAACTGGCTTCTCTTAACCACGAAACAAAATGCCCATTCTGCCCACTGATTTGTTATATGATTAAATTCTTTTTAAAATTTGTTTCTTATATGAAAGAGAGACCGCTTCCATGTGCTACTTGGATTCCTCTCAACCACATGAGATTTGGATGGAGTTCCTGGCCCTGGTTAGTGCGGGCATGTGAGGAGTGAACAAGGGGAATGGAAGAATCAATCTATACACTCCTGCCTGTCAAGTAAATGAAAGCAAAAACACTCCCCCCACAAAACAAAACCAAACCCCAAAAAACAAAACAGTAAACGGAAAATGAGTGATTAACAGAGAAGTCACAGAAAACGGAGCACTGATAAACATATGAATGAGACAGCTAGCATTGGGGTTGTTGTAGGGGCACAGTGGGCTAAGCTGCCACTTCTGACACCAGCAACCTGCATCAGAGGGTCATACTGCTCCATGAGTGGGCCAGGCCCCTGCTAACGCACCTGGGAAAGCAGGGGAAGATGGGCCAAGGACATGGGGCCTCCTGCGTAGAGTGCCTGGCTCCTGAAGTCATACTGGGAGTGTACTAGCAGATGGGGGATCTGTCTAGTAACCAGGAAAACACTAAGTTAAGCACTGAGGTTTAATCATAAATAAATAAATGAACTAATTTAGATGTATCCAACGAATAATTTTGTAAAGCCATGTTGAGTTGAAAAATAAAACAAAACCACTCAAATAGCATCAGGGTGGGTGGGCACACGACTTGAAAAACAGAATATTATTCTCCAACATCCTTACTGTAAAAACTCTTCAGTCTGACCCCCTAAAAATGATCTTTCTTCCACCTGCGCTCACTGGATTTCTATGCATCTTTTAAAGATAAAATTAAATGCCACTGCTACAAGCAGCTCTCCTGGATGACCACAGGTGGCTCCTCCACCGCACTTCATCTATGTTCCCCGAGGTGGGGGTGTCCCAAGTGTGAAAGCATGGGGTTAACACGGCTGGAGATGCGCCCCTTTTGGCACGCCTCACATCTCTGTATGAGTATGAATCCCTTAAGGTTGGGGTGCGGGCAGAACACAGGCTGGCGTGCAAAGTTATTGAACACATTCACCGCAGTGGGTCAAGTCAACACAACGTTGAATTAACAACTGCGACGGGCCTTTGCCTGCCCAAAGCTGTACGAACAGACAGACCTCTAAGGGCGACAAAGGGGTTCGTATGTAGGCAATGAGGATGTCACCATTATCACGGTGAGGGATGCAGGACAACAGCAGTGGGAGGGGTGCTTACTGTACGTGTTGTCAGACTCCAGCGGATCCTCCCCCCCACCACCACCCCAAGCCTCCCACAACGGCTGCAGCGGGAAGCGGGGGATGAGCCCGGGGACCCATCTGCAGGGTCGGCAGGCTGGGCTGGGCGACCCCCGAGGGGGGGCTGCAGGACCGCCCCGGCAGAAGAGGGCAGGTCCGACGGGCAGCACCCTACCTTTCTCATTGCGAACCGGGACGGCCCCGGCCGTCGACTGGATGGGCGGCTGCTTCATGAGGGCGCTGGGGACCGACATGGTGGCGGCAGCGGCGGTGATTCCCGAAACCTGAGAAATCCCAAAAAGTGAAGACCCTACAACCGCTTCCAACCTACGGCCACCGGAAGCCGCTGCACGACGGGGAGAAACTCCTGGTGGCCAAGCTAGAGAAACCGGAAATACGCGCGACGAGAGAATTGTGGGATATTGGAGGAGGTCGGAGCGCCGGGAGGTGGAGTCTGGGATTGCGCCTGTGCGTCGTCGCTCACGTGATTTAATCGCGCCGGGTTCGGAAGTCGTCAAGGTCTGAATGAAAAGAATTCCTTCTGTGAAGGAAGGTTTGAAGTAGAAGTTTCACTTGATTCTTGTTTGAGTCCCAGGCCAACAGGATAATGATGGATACAAAACTGAAAAAGTAGGGACGGACTTGTCTTCCTTTGTGAAAACTCTGCAGGATTAGAGCTTGATGGGATGAAATTCTTGCTAATCTAGTAGAGCTGATTACTGAGTTGATGAGGCCGGGGTGGACTAGGGTGAGGTATTTAGTGGTCACACGAGAACAGGTGTTGGAGGTGAATCTTACCATTCCACTTGAAGGCTTCCCACGTTTTTTCAGTTTATTTTGATGGTCTTTACCTCGTTGATTAGGGCTCAAAGGGTCAAGGGCTACAGGAAAGTGGGTAAGATTATTATTTCCACATTTCCTTTTTTCCTTCCTGTATCTGGAGGAAGGGGAGAGACAAAGGGAAAAGCCACACGCTCCCTCCCAGCCATCGCAGGGTCCCCGACGTGGGGCATGCTCTGAGGGCACTGCTCAAGTGGTTTTGATAGTTGAACTGTTCTGAAATGCTGCCAATCTCACCATACCAAGCATGATGAAATCTCTTCAGAATCCACTGGCTGACATAGATGCTAACTGCCTATTCTAATAAATAACTCAGGATGGGCATTTGACCCAGCAAGTTAGGATACCATGTTTCACATCGCAGTGTCAGAGTCCCCATCTGCAGCATTTGTGTTTTAGTTCATAATTACTGAGTTTTTGTGTTCACCATACTTTGAGTTCTAAAGAAAGCATAAGGCATTGCTTAAAAAGCTCTTTTCCTATAGAAGATAGGCCTTTTTATTTTAAAGATCTGTTTGAAAGTCAGATTTATAGAGAGAAGGAGAGTCAGATCTGTCCACTGGTTCATTTCCCAAGTGGCTGCAATGGCCACAGCTGAGTCAATCTGAAGCCAGGTGCTTCCATGTGGGTTCAGGAGTCCAAGCACTTGGGCCACCCTCCACTGCTTTTCTGCTTCTGCAGGTGCCTTAGCAGGGAGCTGGATGGCAAGTGGGACTGTAGGACTCAAAATTGGGACCCATGAGGCTCCAAGAAGTTAGTTTTTATTTAGAAAATCCTCAGGACTTTTAGGATCTTAGGATAAGTTAATGTGACATTAGCACAGTTCACTGTAAAGAGTGCTTTAAAGCATCCAGAAGGGACAGCACAAGCAAGGTCTTGTTTGGTTTAATTAGTAATTCAGGAGTCAGGGAGTAATCAGAGTTCTGCCAATAGCAGGCTGTGGAAGGCCTTGCAGGTGCTATTACTTCCATCGGCTCTTTAGTTATGCCACCTGTATTCTTGGCTGAAGCTGTGGCTGGAGGATGTGTGAAATTGGAAAATCTCAGGGAAGAAACAGAGGACAGAATGAACCAACCAAGGAAGCACTTTGAGACTAGAAAGAGAATCCCAAAGAACAGAATGTTGTGGATCTGTCAGCTCAAGGGATTATGGATCTAATGGGCAGAAAAAGTTTTTCTGGTTTAAGGTAACGGAATATGGCCTCTCCCCAGAGACAAAAGTAGCATGGTTGTGACTGTGGGAAATAATACAGTTAAATCTGCATGATTTTGTTATAATACATAGATTCAAGTCACAAGTCTTTTCCAGGTTTTTAGTTTGTAAAAGTCATATTACCTTTTAGTGAAAGATTATCTGGAAGGTAGAGCGAGAGAGCGAGAGAGCGAGCGAGAGAGAGAGAGAGAGAGAGAGAGAGAGAGAGGGAGAGGAGAGTTATCTTCCCTCATTCCATTCCCCCTCCTCACAGGGCAACCAAGGCTGCACCAGGTGGAAGCCAGCTGCAAGGAACTCCATGGAGGTGGCAGGGATCCCAGTAGTTCTGACATCATCCACTGCCTTCACAAGCACCTTAGCAGGATCGGAAACTACTGGGGAGCCGCTCCAGTGGCAAACAGGTTTATTAACGTGCTGCACCACAACACCGTTCCAGGGTCCTATGTTAACTGATCAGGAAATTTAAAGCAGCTTTAAGTCCTCAGTTCTTGAACCAAAAAGCTTCTCTTCCTGGGAACAAGATCACGTGGTAGCAACGGGACATGTTTTTCTAGCTGTGGAATTACAGAAAGCTGTAGGTTGTGGTTGGTAAAAAACCCAGGCTCACATTGTAAAGTTTTTTTTTTTTTCCCCCTTAGAGGCGTCAGTATTTTTTAAACGCGTTCCCAGCACCAGCAGCATGAGAAGCATCAGTACCAGGGTGCAAATGTCGATGGGGCGCCCCCGGCATAAGGTTCGGGGCGCCGGGCAGATGTGAGCGGGCCCCGCCCCCTGCGCCAGGCTCCTCCCACTCGCGTCTTCCGCCTCGAGCTTTGGCGGGAAAGCGGCAGCTGCGCGCGGCGGCGAGATGTCCGGGGCTGGCGCTGCGGCTGAGAAGGCACCCTCCAGGCAGCGTGCCCAGGTAAAAGAAGCGGGTTGGCGCCTCTCCGGCTGTGCTTCGGCCTCCGTTTAAGGGAGAGAGTTGCCGGGCACGGGCAAAGGCGGGACTCTCTGCGCTGGCTTTTCTCTGGGCAAAATTAGGCCTTGCTAAGTTTCAGGTGCTAGTCAGTAGTCATAAAAAAGGGCAAGGTTGGATCTGGGGGTCCCGTTTTCCTGCCTCCCCCCCACCCCCCACCCGCGCTTCCTTTTTGTGGCAGTTACTTGATAATTTCACATACTTTGCTCTGAGATGGACAGTTGGGCTGTTTCCACAGTTATGTAAGTGCTACTCCTTATTACTGCTTTTGACAAACTTATGTGGGTAAGGAATGTGCCCACTGGAACTAATACATCTATTCTAATTCCAAATGTAGATTTTGGTGGGGCAAAGGTTCCTTTTTATATGTGTGTGTATAATATTTTAAGGATTTGTTTAATTTTATTTATTAGTGTTTAATTTATTTGAAAAAAAGAGAGCAAGCAACCTTCTATCCACTGGCTTATTTTCCATTTAGCCCCAAAGCCAGGAGCCAGTAGCATCATTCTGGTCACTCCCATGGATGCAGGGGCCCGAGGAGCTGGACCATCTCCCACTGCTTTCTGTGGCGCCTTAGCAGGGAGCTGGATAAGGGTGGAGCAGCTGGGACTGGCACTGCTATCCATCACTGCTGTCTGTTTGGATTCCTGTTATGAAATTGAAAGACTTGTCTTCAGAGAGTTGTTGGGGATCCTGTAAGAAAAAGCATACGCTTTTCTAATTCTGTTTTCCTCTGTTTTACCCAAATAGGTGAATGAATATAAAGAAAATAGAAACAGCGCTTATATATCCCTGACACCAATAGAGTCCGCGATTTTAGGAAAAACACCAAAGGTTTATCTGACCCCTTACTCCTTGAATAATTACCAGCTAGGCCAATTTAAGTGCCCCAAATCCCTGTTAGAAAAGAATTCTAAAAATGAAGTTGCGTGTAAGAAGACTGAAATAAAGGAAACTTGCAAAGTGGTTTTAACTCCATCAAAGATTAAAGCCGTATCCTCCAAGACAGAGTCCGCTGTGCAAAAAACATCCTTCAGTATTCGTATGGAGACGGACAAGCTGCCATCTAAAACTCCTTCAGCTGTGGGGACTCCCAGTGATGATGTGGAAAGCAGTCAGGATGGAGAAAGTGATGAGGAAGACACAGCAGGCCTGGTAAGAATTAACTACTTAGCTTGTTCTAACTGGGGTAAAATCTAAAGTTTTAATAATCTAAGATAACCAAGGGTTCTATCGCTCAAACTGTTTTATTGAAAGTCTAATGAAAATGTACTTTTCAGTTGTTAGAGATAGAGAGCTCCCATTTGCTTATAGACTTCCCAAGTGCCAGCCGTGGCCAGCATTGAGCCACATTGAAGCTGGCAGCTGGGAGCTCAGTCCAGGTCTCCTCTGTGGGTGCCAGGGAGCCAGCCACTTGGCTGACCTGTCGCCTGCTGCTGCTGCTCAGGATCTGTCAGGAGATGGGAGAATGGAGTGGAGCTGGGAGCTGAACCTAGGTATTTCTGGCAAATGGGCTCTCTGATTAGTATCTTTTTTTATTGCATTTAATTTTATAACAACGTTTCATAGGCTCTGATGTTCCCCCTTCCCCTCCTCTTGCCCTCCCCCCGGGGTGGATTGCTCCACCTTATTGCAGTATTACAGATCAAATCTAGTCTTATTTCTTTCAATGCAAGCGTGTGCCTTGTATAGAGGCCGGTATCTTGTTGCCCAGCTGAATTCAACAGTTCTGATTAGTATCTTAATAGCTAGCATGAACACCTGACTCCTGGAAATTTATTTAATGTTATGTTGATTTTTAAAACGGATTTGCTTACTTATGTGAAAGTTGGAGTTGCAGAGACGGGGAGAGACCTTTGATTCGCTGGTTCATTCCCCAAGGTGCCACAGAGACCAGAGCTGAGCCAGGCTGGAGCCTGGAGCTTCACATTTGAGTGTCCCAAGTGGATGCAGGTGCCCAAGTACTTGGTGTCTTCTGTTGCTTTTTTTTCCCCTGGGCTTTAGCAGGGATTTGAAGCATTGGGATGTGAAACTACCCCTGGTACCTTTGAGATACTGTATTTTAGAAACAGTGTTTAGTTTATTTCTCCCTAAATGAAAGAAGACTGTCGTAGACAAGATTCTTGGCCTACAAGTCTAGGATTTGTTTCTCTTTCCTGGGAAATGTTCTTTTATTGTCTAGCCACTCTATTAAATATTTTCATTATGTGAGGTGGTTTTAGCAGTTCATTAAAATTTTTTTTAGTTATTCAGACTGACAGATAAGTTGCAAAAATAGTACTGAGGAGTTATGCAAATCTCACCTAGCTTAACTTCGTGTTAATTTTTTATGCAACCCTACAGCGTTGGTCAAACTAAGAAATGAACCTTGGAGTAGTACTGGTAACTGCAGCACGGAGCCTGCTGGGTTTTCACCAGTTACAGCTGGTAGCGTTTCCCTGTTCGGTTCAGACCAGTGTCACTCAGGATTCAGTTGTTAGGTCTTCGGCTTTTCCTGCCTAGACGGCTCCTCGGTGTTTCATGTCCTTGACACTTCTGAAGTGTCCTGCACCTTTTATAATGTCTCTCAGTTATCCGACATTTCCTCATGATTAGATTAAGGTGTTGCATTATTGAGAAAGGTACCTCAAAAATGAATATCCCCCCTCGTATAACATGCCAGGGTATATAGCAGTCCCGGGGGATATGATCCAGGCCCCTAGCGGATGCCTCATACTGCAGGTAGTAATGAGTGCTATGGGAATATATACTTCGAAGGTTTTGTTTTCTGTGGTCTGTTACCCAGGGTCAATATGATTTACTGTCTTTGGTACAATAAGATATTTTGAGAGACAGTGTTCACATAGCTCTGTCATAATATATTGTTACTATTTTTTGAAGTTTTTAAAAATTTACTTTTATTGCAAAGATTTCACAAAGATCTGTCCACTAATTGATTCATTCCCCAAGTGATTGTAACAATCAGCTGAACCAATCTAAAACCAGGAGATGCTTCTGGGTATCCCAAGTGGGTGCAGGGTCCCAAGGCTTTGGGCCATTCTCCTCTGCTTTCCAGGCCACAAGCAAAGCTGGTTGGGAAGCAGAGCAGCCAGGATATGAACCCATGCCCATATGGGTTCCTAACACTTGAAGGGGGAGGATTAGTTAGTTGAGCCATTGTGCTAGGCCTTTTCGGGTTCATTTATTTGAAAGGCTGAGCAACACAGAGAGGAAATAGATATTCCACCTGCTGATGCAGTCTCTAAAAGCCTAAAACAGCAAAGGCTTGGCCAGGCTGAAGCTGAAGGAACTGCATCCAGGTCTTGCATGTGGGTGGCAGGAGCTCATATACCTGAGCCATCATGTGCTGCCTCTCAAGGTTATTAGCAGAAAATTATATTGGAAGTATGGTGGAGCTGGGACTCGAACTAAGTCGTCTTAATGTGGGATGTAGGTATCCCAAACAGCAGTTTAACGCTGTGCCATTATGCCTACCCCTGTTGTTATTAATCTGTTAGTATGTCTGAGTTATAAGTTAAGCTTTATCATAGGGATGATAGATAGGAAAAGATGTATATATAGGATTTGGTTCTTTGGTAATTTAGGAATTTTTAGCAGCCAGGTGTGTTCTGGAGTGGCCATTTGTACTACAGTTGTCATTGCCAGGGGCTGGCACAGTTGTGTAGCACGTTAATCCTCCACCTGTAGTGTTGGCATCGCATATGGGCGCTGGTTCTAGTCCTGGTTATTCCACTTTCGATCTAGCTCTCTATTAATGGCATGGGAAAGCAGTGGAGAATGGCTCAAGTCCTTGGCCCCTGTATCCACATGGACAACCTAGAAGGAGCTCCTGGCTTGAGACCATCTTAGCTCTGACCCTTGGGACTATTTGAGGAGTGATTGGCAATGGAAGAGCTCACTTGCTTGCAGTGTTTTTTGAATTTACCTCTCTCCCTCTGATTTTCAAGTAAAATAATATAAAAAGGGAAAGTGCCACTTGGGAGACCAGCACCGTATATTGGAGTGTCTAGTTTTGGCCTTGGCTCTTCTGAATCCAGCTTCCTATTTATGAGCACCTTGGGGACAGCAGGTAATGGCTCAGGTGCTTGGGTCCCTGCCACCTTGTGGGAGACGTGGACTGAGTTCCTGGCTTCTGGCTTCAGTGTGGTGCAGTTCCAACTGTTGCAGGCATTTGGGGAATGAAGCAGCATTGGATGATCTGTCTTTCAAATAAAACACACAAAAATTTTTTTTCTACCACATACCTCTCTGTTCCTCATTGCTGCTCACATCACAAATGGCATTTTAAGCATTTTAGCTTCTTCCTCTTGGTCCCCCACCAGAGCATTTGTTCCCTTTCCATGGCAGGTTGAAAGTTTATTTTACTTCCTCCGTACCCTTCTCATACTAACATGCATACATGCACATGCTTTGCTTTTTATTTTATTTATTGTTTGAAAGGTAGAGTTAGGCCCATAGAAAGAGCGAATCTTCCATCCAATCATTCACTCCCCAAATGTCCACAATGACTGGAGTTGAGCTGATCTGAAGCCAGGAGCCCAGAGCCTCTTCTGGGTCTCTGACATGAATGCAGGGTCCAAAAGCCTTGGGCCATCCTCAACGGCTTTCCCAGGCCACAAGCAGGGAACTGCATGGGAAGTGGGGCTGCCAAGATTTGAACTGGTGCCCATATGGGATTCTGGTGTGTGTATGGTGAGGACTTTAGCTGCTAGGCTACCACACCAGGCCCTTTCACTAGCTTCTTAAAGTGTTTGGGCCCGGCGTGATGGTGTAGTGGTTAAGGTCTTCACCTTGAATGCACCAGACTCCCATATGGGCGCTGGTTCTAATCCCAGCGGCCCTGCGTCCTATCCAGCTCCCTGCCTGTGGCCTGGGAAGGCAGTCGAGGACTGCCCAAAGCTTTGGGACCCTGCGCCCGCATGGGAGACTGGGAAGAGGCTCCTGGCTTCGGATTGGCTCAGTTCCAGCTGTTGTGGCTGCTTGGGGAGTGATTCATCGGATGGAAGATCTTCCTCTCTGTCTCTCCTCTCTGTATATCCACCTTTCCAATAAAAAGAAAAATAAATCTTTTAAAAGAAAAAAGAAAAAGTGTTTGTAAGATACTATATTTTGAATATACGAGTCTTTACCTTTGTATTTGTTGACTCAATTGTATTTAGAATAATTTTTTTCCAAGATTTATTTGAAAGGTAGAGTTACACAGAGAGCCAGAGGGAGAGACAGATCTTCCTTCTGCTAGTTCATTCCCTAAATGGGCTCAACAGATGGAGGGAGCCTGTCCAAAGCTAGGAGAGAGTAGCTTCCTCTCCCTAACTCTACTTCTCCAATTAATGAAGCAATGAATCAGTGAATCTTTTTTAGTTTGCTGTTCTATTAATAGTTTTTTTTTTAAAGATTTATTTTATTTTCATTACCAAGTCAGATATACAGAGAGGAGCAGAGACAGAGAAGATCTTCTGTTCAATGATTCACTCCCCAAGTGACCGCAATGGCTGGAGCTGCGCTTATCCGAAGCCAGGATCCGAAACTTCCTCCCACATGGGTGCAGAGTCCCAAGGCTTTGGGCCGCCCTTAACAGCTTTCCCAGGCCACAAGCAGGGAGCTGGATGGGAAGCAGGGAGCTGGATGGGATGCAGGGCCGCCAGGAATAGAACCGGCACCCATATAGGATCCTGGTGCTTTCAAGGCGAGGACTTTAGCTGCTAGGCCAGGGCACCAGTCACTCAGTGGGTTTTCAGATGCAGAAACAAATGCATTTACTCACTTAGCTGTGTTAATTGAAGAATCAAGGTCCTAGTTGTGAAGTATTTTTTACTAAGGATTATGTAAAGTGACTATCTTTTTGGTTTGATTTCATAGGATGATTTTTCAGGATTGTCATCATATGAAAGAAAGAGACTGAAGAACATATCAGAAAATGCAAACTTTTTTGCTTCTCTTCACTTATCTGAGGTTAGTGTGGAGTCTGTAAAAACAAGATGCCATTCCTTCTGTCAGGTTAATAGTTACAATAGTAGTTCCCATGTATCTTGTGAGGGCGGGCAAATTTTGGAGTATAATTACATTATAAAATAGTAGCTACCATATCATTGATTCTAAGGGTTTTTTTTTTTTTGGCATTTAACATTTTTGAAGTTGATCTTAAAATAATTAGCAGCTTACTCCAGTTTTTGTTGGTACATTAAGTATTGGTCTGCTGAAACTGGTTGTCTTAGATTCAGAGAAGTTGGGCTTGTGCGAAATTATTGCCTTTACCCGAAGGTAAGAGTTGTGCTAGGTATAACAGAGGATATGATGGAGGATTGCAGTATTTTTTTCTGAATTTTAAACTTAGATAGGAATATGCTCTATATAGGGAAGTTTAAGAATATATTTATGCTGATACTTTGTAATCATAAGTTATGGTATAATTTACATTGCTTTCTTCACATTGGGGTTGAACAAAAGCAGCTGTGTAGGATGGTGTGATTATCTTCCCCCAACCCCAAAAAGATACCAAACCCTTAATAATGAATTGATTTCCGTGAATATAAAATTTTCGAATGTTCATTACATGTTTATATCTTGATGGAAGGAGGGTGAGTTAATCAAAGAAATTAAGCCAATTGCCTGTTGGAAATCTGGCAGAAATTTAGACAATATTTGTAATTGTGATTTTTAGTTAAAATGTGATTTGATGTTTAAAAGTATAGTCTTTAACTTTTCTGGAAAGCAAAGTGAGTTTTCCAACAGAAGTTGAATCGTTTAATATGTAGTAGAGTACTTGATTAAATACTTTGATTCTATACACTCATTAGTAGTGTGGCCCAAGGCAGCAGAGTGCTAGGTAGGTAGGTTACATCCTTTCCTTTATTATGTTTGTTACAAAGAATAAGCATTCTATCTTAAGGATTCACATTTCCTGGACAGACTTGAGTGTGGAAGCAGATACTTAATCTTTTAAAAGCTAAGTTAGGTGTGTAGTTATACCATTTTCATTTGCATGAATGTTTTGTGTACTTTGCAGTCAGCTGCAAGGCTCCGTGAAATGATAAAGACAAGAAAACCACCTGAATTTAAGAGGTAAAAAGTTTAATTTGTAATGCTTGGGATGAAATATATTGCTGAGGGTTTTTAAAATTCTTTTAATTTAATTTTATTTATTTAAAAGCGTCACATACAGAGGGGGAGAAACAGAAAGAGAGCTTTCATCTGCTGCCTTATTTCTGCATCAGGACCCCAGCGCTAGCTGAATTTTTTTTTTTTTTTAAAGATTTATTTTTTATTATTTTTTCATTGGAAAGGTGGATATACAGAGAGGAGAGACAGAGAGGAAGATCTTCCGTCCGATGATTCACTCCCCAAGTGAGCGCAACGGGCCGATACTATGCTGATCCAAAGCCAGGAGCCTCTTCTGGGTCTCCCACACGGGTGCAGGTTCCCAAAGCTTTGGGCCGTCCTCGACTGCTTTCCCAGGCCACAGGCAGGGAGCTGGAAGGGAAGCGGGGCTGCCGGGATTAGAACCGGCGCCCATATGGGATCCCGGGCGTGCAAGGCGAGGACCTTTAACCACTGTGCCACCGCGCCGGGCCCATAGCTGAATTTTTTTTTTTTAAGATTTATTTTTATTATTTTTTCATTGGAAAGGCGGATATACAGAGAGGAGAGACAGAGAGGAAGATCTTCCGTCCGATGATTCACTCCCCAAGTGAGTGCAACGGGCCGATACTATGCCAATCCGAAGCCAGGAGCCTCTTCCGGGTCTCCCACACGGGTGCAGGGTCCCAAAGCTTTGGGCCGTCCTCGACTGCCTTCCCAGGCCACAGGCAGGGAGCTGGAAGGGAAACGGGGCTGCCGGGATTAGAACCGGCGCCCATATGGGATCCCGGGCGTGCAAGGCGAGGACCTTTAACCACTTGCGCCACCGCGCCGGGCCCATAGCTGAATTTTTAATTTGAAAAACTGGGGGTGGTTTTATGGCTTAGTGGGTTAAGCTGCTGCCTATGATGCTGACTTCCTGTATGGGTGCCAATTTGAATACTGGCTGTTCCACTTCTGATCCAGTTCCCCACTCATGTACCTGGGAAAGCAGTGAGCCCCTGCACTCACATGGGAGACCTGCATGGAGTTCTAGTCTCCTAGATTTTTTTTCTTTTTTTAATATTTATTATTATTTTAATGTCTTTTAAAAGAAGAATTGTTTTATTATTGGAAAGGCACATATACAGAGAGAAGATAGGAAGATCTTCCATCTGCTAGTTCACTCCCCAAGTGGCCGCAACAGCCAGAACTGAGCTAATCCGAAGCAAGGACCCCAGAACTTCTTCTGGGTATCCCATACAGGCACAGGATCCCAAAGCTTTGGTCCGTCCTCTACTGCTTTCCCAGGCCACAAGCAGGGAGCTGGATGGGAAGTGGAGCAGCTGGCTTACAAACTACTCTAAAGTTAGAATAAGGGAAGGGAGTTAGCAGTTATTGAACATCTATGAAGCATGGTGTGTGACCAGGAAATTGTGTCCTGTTTTTTCCTTTTCTTTTTTTAAAGATTTATTTTACTGCAAAGTCAGATATATGTAGAGAGGAAGATTATCCTTCTGATGTTTCGCTTCCTAAGTGGCTGCAATGGCTGGAGCTGCACTGATCCACAGCCAGCAGCCCAGAGCTCTTCCAGGTCTCCCCACATGGGTGCAGGGTCCCAAGGCTTTGGGCTGTCCTTGACTGCTTTCTTAGGTCACAAGCAGGGAGCTGGATGGGAAGTGGGGCTGCCGGGATTAGAACTGGCGCACATATGGGATCCCGGCGTATGAGAGGCGAGGACTTAAGCTTCTAGGCCATGCCGCTGGGCCCTGTTTTTCTCTTTTAATCCTGACTATCACCATATATGGTAAATAATATACCCGTTTTATGAGTTAAGAAATAAGCTGAAAGAGATGTTTTGGGCCATATCAAAATAGGTGATAAGTAGTAGTCTAGAATTTGAGCATCAGGAATTCTTTGTTATTTTTAAGTTTAAAAAAATTGAAAAGATCCTGGTGCAGAGGCCTGGTTGGCTAGTTCCAATATGGTTTTGATCCCATGTGGATGCCAGTACATGTTCTGGCTGCTTCACTTCCCATCCAGCTCCCTGGTTATGACTTGGGAAAGCAGTGGAGAATGGCCCAGAGCCTTGGTATCCTGCACCCACGTGGGAGACCAGGAAGAAACTCCTCACTCCTGGGTTTGGATCAGCTCTGCTCTGGTCGTGAGTCCATGTGGAGAGTAAACAGTGAATGGAAGTATTTTTCTTTCCTTTTCTCTTCAAATCTGATCTGCCTTTCAGATAAAAATAAATATTAAAAAAATTAAGACAAACATTATTTAAAAGGCAGAGTGGCAAGAAAAGACAAAGGGAGAGAGATCTTGCATCTACTGAGTCATTCCCCAGTGCCTACAATGCCCAAGGCTCGGCCAGGCTAAAATTGGGAGCCTAGCCCTCTGGGCCTCACTGGTGCAGGTGCCCGAGGACGAATGAAAGCGGATGAAAGATTTTCTGTTTGTGCTTCGCTCTGTATATCTTATTTTCCAAGAAAAATAAATTTTTTTTAAATAGTTCTTTCATTCACTAGCTTAGCATTCGTCCCACTTCCAATATACACAGCAGCTATGGCTGCTCCATGCTGAAGCCAGGAACTGGAAACTTCATCCTGGTCTCCTACCTGGGGAGCAAACACTCCCCAGTAGGAAACTGAATTGGAAGCCGAGTCCTGGGAACTTGAACCCATGCTACAGAATGGACTACTGGTATTGAGTTGATGGTGTAATGTGTTAAGCTACAATGCTAGTCTTGACTTATCATCTTCTCTTATACTTTTTTTTGGAATATTTAATTTTTTAATTTAAAAAATTATTATTGGAAAGTCAGAGATACAGAGAGGAAAATCTTTCTTCCAATGATGCACTCCCCAAGTGGCCTCAGTGGCTGGAGCTGAGCCAAACTGGAGCCAGGGGCCGGGAGCCTCAAACCTCTTTTTGGCCTGCCACACGGATGCAGGGTTCCAAGGCTTTAGGCCGTCTTCAACTTCTTTCCCAGGCCACAAGCAGGAAGCTGGATGGGAAGTGGGGCTGCCAGTACATGAAATAACGCCCACTTGGGATCCTGGTGCGTGCAAGTCAGTGACTTTAGCTCCTGGGCTACCATGCTGGGCCTGTTTGTTTATTTTTATTGGAAAGGCAGATATACAGAGAGAAGGAGAGGCAGAGAGGAAGATCTTCCATCTACTGGTTCATTCTGCAAGTGGCCGCAAATGTTAAAGCTGAGCTGATCTGAAGCTAAGAGCCAAAAGCTTCTTCCCGGTCTCCCATGTGGGTGCAGGGTCCCAAAGTTTTGGGCCATCCTTGACTGCTTTCCCAGGCCACAAGCAGGGAGCTGGATGGGAAGCAGGGCCACTGGGATTAGAATTGGCACCCATGTGGGATCCTGGTGCATTCAAGGTGAGGACTTAAGCCGTTAGGCCATGGCGCCAGGCCCTGATTCGTTGATCTTATGTACAGTTCTCTTGGTCTCTATTTGGTTTATTTTCTCCCTTATTTTGATTATTTTTTACTAATCTTGGGATTGCTTTGGTGTTGTTTTTCTAGTTTCTTCAACTGTAAGGTTAACTTATTTTCTTGAATCTTTTCTAGTCTTTTTTTTTTTTTAAGATTTCTTTATTTTTATCGGAAAGACAGATATACAGAGAGGAGGAGAGACAAAGAGAAAGATCTTTCATCCGATGTTTCACTCCCCAAGTGGCCTCAACGGCTGGAACTAAGTCAGTCTGAAGCCAGGAGCTTCTTCTGGGTCTCCCACGAGGGTGCAGGGTCCTAAGGCTTTGGGCCGTACTCGACTGCTTTCCCAGGCCACAGGCAGGGAGCTGGATGGGAAGCAGGGTTGCTGGGATTAGAACCGGTGCCCATATGGGATCCTGGCAAGTTCAAGGCAAGGAATTTAACCTCTACACAATGGTTCCAGGCCCATGCTTTTCTAGTTTATTAATGTGCCGGAGGCTAACTCTAGCAGAGTTCAAAGCTCAAGAAGGGGTGTGTGGAGTTGGTGAAAAGACACAGACACTGTCACTTGGTGCCCTCCTGTAAACTGCTCAAGAAGCTGTCCTTCTTTATTTACCTTGTTTTATCACAAACTTCTGCACAGCCATTTAATTGTTCCATTTTTACTTCATGATTAAGTGGGCTTGAACAGACATTTGGTCACTCTGTTTGTACATCTTGGCTAGGCAGGTTCTCCTACAGATAAATCTGCAAAATACTATATTCATATTCTTCAAAGCAAGCCATTGTTTATTCTTCAGTAGTAGCCTTTGGACAACAGCCAGGACTTCAAGGCCAAGGCACATGCGATTACCTGCTAGTCTGTAATACATTCTTTGTTTTTTTGTTTTTTTTAGATTTTATTTATTTTTTATTACAAATTGAAATACACAGAGAGGAGGAGAGACAGACAGGAATATCTTCCGTCCGGTGATTCACTTCCCAAGTGAGCGCAATGGCCGATGCTATGCCGGTCCGAAGCCAGGATCCAGGAACTTCCTCTGTGTATCCCACACGGGCGCAGGGTCCCAAGGCTTTGGGCCGTCCTCGACTGCTTTCCCAGGCCACAATAGGGAGCTGGATGGGAAGTGGAGCTGCCAGGATTAGAACTGGCGCCCATATGGGATCCTGGTGCGTTCAAGGTGAGGACTTAAGCCGCTAGGCCACGCCGCCGGGCCCCTGGTAATACATTCTTTTTCTTTTTTTTTTTTTTTAAAAGATTTACTTTAATTTTATTGGAAAGACGGATATACAGAGAGGAGAGACAGAGAGGAAGATCTTCTGTCCGATGATTTACTCCCCAAGTGAGTGCAATGGCCGATGCTATGCCGATCCGAAGCCAGGAGCCTCTTCTGGGTCTCCCACATGGGTGCAGTGTCCCAAAGCTTTGGGCCATCCTCAACTGCTTTCCCAGGCCACAAGCAGGGAGCTGGATGGGAAGTGGGGCTGTCGGGATTAGAACTGGCGCCCATATGGGATCCCGGGCATGGAAGGCAAGAACCTTAACCACTGCGCCACCGCGCTGGGCCCTGGTAATACCTTCTTAATACATTTCTATTTCCACAACTTCCCCATCATTTAATGGGAGAAATATGTCAAAAGGAAAAAGCATGAAAATCCAAGAGAAAAGTTTCAAATAGCAAATTTCTCTATAACAAGGTGTACAACCCCATAAACAAATAATAATTAAAAGCATTTTTGTAATACTAATAAAAGTATACTTAATTCCTGTTAGCAAAAATTTAATAAGCAGCTAAAATACATGCATTTTTTTATGCTTCAAAAATTTGTAGTATCAGGCTGGCATTTAAGGTCACAATAACTGTTTTTTACCATAAGCTGTTTCAGCTCATACTCCCATTCCTTTGAATAATTTTAAGGATATTTGTCAAGCCCTTTTCCTAAGACATGCCACATGTCTGGGCCAGATTATCGGGCAATGGAGAGATGCACAACGTGTCCAGAAATGGAATAGGCTTAATTGTACTCATGTGTGTAGTTAAAGGTCTACTTACCAAGACATTGTGAGCGACAATAACTCGCAAGCTCATATTGGTTGCAAAAACCATCTCATCATATAGGCAAACAGCAATGCTTCAATAGATTATGGAATTCTTAGTGGGGTGGTTGAATGTCCATGCAAAAGGGAGTGAGACTGTGTCAAGGTGGTTGGAGAGACATCCACCAGACCTTGCCAAACAGGGGCTTGGCGTGGTGGCCTATTTCCTAAAATCCTCGCCTTGTGTGCATTGGGATCCTGTATGGGCACTGGTTTGAATCCCAGCAGCCCCACTTCCCATTCAGCTCCCTCCTTGTGGCCTGGGAAAGCAGTCGAGGATGGCCCAAAGTCTTGGGACCCTGCACCCATATGGGAGACCAGAAGAAGCTCCAGGCTCCTGGCTTAAGATTGGCTCAGCTTTTTTTTTTTTTAAAGATTTATTTTATTTTTATTGGAAAGGCGGATATATAGAGAGGAGAGGCAGAGGAATATCTTCTGTCCGATGAGTCACTCTCCAGTGGCCGCAACGGGTGGAGCTAAGCTCAGCTTTAGCCATTGCGGCCACTTTGGGTGTTAACCAGTTGATGGAAAGCTTTGTGCCATCCTCAACTGCATTCCCAGCCTACAAGCAGGGATCTGGAAGGGAAATGGGGCTGTCAGGATTACAACTGGTGCCCATATGGGATCCCGGTACATGCAAGGTGAAGACTTTTGCCAGGTCCCTGAAAATAATTTTTAAACAAAATGTTTAAAATGCAGATTTATAGAAAAAAAACCTTTTATCCACTGGTTTATTCCCCAAATGGCTACAATGAACGGAGCTGAGGTGATTTGAATCTATGAGCTTTAGTTTTTGTTATTTTAAAGATTTATTTTTATTGCAAAGTCAGATGTAGAGAGGAAAGAGAAATATCTTCTGTCCCATGATTCACTCCCCAAGTTACTGCAACGGCTGGTGCTGTGGTGATTGATCCAAAGCCAGGATCCAGGAACTTCCTCCAGGTCTCCCATGAGGGTGCAGGGTCCCAAGGCTTTGGGCCGTCCTCGACTGTCCTCCCAGGCCATAAGCAAGGATCTGGATGGGAAGTGGAGCTGCCGGCACTAGAACCGGCACCCATATGGGATCCTGGTGCGTTCAAGGTGAGGACTTTATTCTTTAGGCCACAGTGCCAGGCCCTGAATCTATGAGCTTTTTATGGGTTTCCCATGTGGGTGCATGGCCCAGGAACTTGTGACATCCTCTGATGCTTTCCCAGTTCATAAATAGGGACCTTGAGTGGAATTTGAGCAGTTGAGACTAGAACAAATGTCATATGGGATGTCAGTGCTGCAAGGTAGAGGATTAGCCTGTTGAGCCACTGTTCAAGTCTTCTGCCTACCATGCAGAAAGCACATGTCTTTTTTTAAAATTTATTTAATGTCTTAGAATTCCATTCTCTGGTTTTTTTTTTTTTTACAGAATTTATTTTATTTGAAAGGCAGAGTTAGAAGAAAGATCTTCCAATTCTGATTAGCTCTCCAGATGGCTGCTGTAGCCGGAGTTGGATTGGTCCAAAGTCAGGAACAACTTCTGAATCTTCCACATGGGTGCAAGGTCCAAGGACTTGCACCATTCTCTGTTCTTCCAAGCTGTTAGCAGTGAACTATGTCAGAAATGGAGCAGCCAGAACTTGAGCTTGTGCCCATGTGAAATGCCAGTGCTGCAGGCACAGACTTAGCTTAGTGTACCATTGTGCTCACATCCATATTTTGTTTTAGGATGTATTTATCTTTTTTTTTTAAAGATTGATTTTTATTGGAACGTCAGATATACAGAGAGGAGAAACAGAGAAGAAGATATTCTGTCTGATGATTCACTTCCCAAGTGACCACAATGGCTGGAGCTGCACCAATACAAAGCCAGGAGCTTGGAACCTCCTCCAGGTCTCCCATGTGGGTGCAGGATCCCAAGGCTTTGGGCCATCTTTGACTGCTCTCCCAGGCACAAGCAGGGAGCTGGATGATGGGAAGCAGGGCTTCTGAGATTAGAACTGGTGCCCATATGGGATCCCAGTGTGTTCAAAGTGAGGACACTAGCTGCTAGGCCATTGTGCCAGGCCCAAGATATATTTATGGTTATTGGAAAGATTTACAGAAAGGAGAGAGAAAAATCTTTGTTCGGCTGGTTCATTTTCCAGATGGCTGCATCTGCCAAAGCTGAGCTGATCCTGAAGCCAGGAATCTTCTCTGGGTCTCCCGTGTGTGTGGGGTTCCAAGCATTTGGGCCATCTTGTACTGCTCTCCCAGGCCACAAGCAGGGAGTTGGATGGAAAGTAGAGCAGCCGGGACACCAACTGGCATGCATATGGGATCCTGGCATGCGTGAAGCGAGGATTTAGCCTCTAAGATTGTGCCAGGTCCCAGCCATAATTTTTTCTAAATACCTGTGCATGCCATTTTTGCTCTGTGTTCCTCGTTGCCTCTTGATGAACATTTACATTTATTTTCTTACAGACTTTTTAAATTAATATCAATGTAGCTGTGTGTGTATATGCATGTATATGTCAGTTATTTCCTTAATATTATTAAACTTATTTATGAGTATGAGATGATTTTTTTTCTCCTACTTTAGGAAGAAACCGAAGAAGAAAGAAAATGAAATTGGATGTAGAAGGTCCATGCGATTGTTGAAAGTAGATCCTTCAGGAATTCCGCTACCAGCAGCTCCAGAACAGCCACCAGTAGAAGAAGATGAAAATGTAAGAAAAAATACAAATACAGTATTAACTTAATGCAATATTTAAGGATTTAAAGTGTTAAAAAAAAAGACTAGATATTCTTTAAGTCGTATTTAGTTTCTTTTTCATTAACTTAATGCTTTAATGTTATGTGATTTCATGAGTAAGATTTGGTAGCTATAAATACTGGGTTAGCTTCTGTATTTCTTTTCAATGAGATTTATTTTTATTCATGTTAGAGGAAGATGGAGATCTTCTATCAGCTGATTCAGTCCCCATATGAGCTCAGCAGTCCATATCCAGGAGCCAGAAGCTCCTTCTGGGTCTCCCATGTGGAAGTGGAGGTCCATGCATTTCATCTTGTACTGCTTTCTCAGGTGCATTCTCAGGGAGTTCCGTCCAAAGCGGAGCAGCCAGCCTCCAATTGGCACCTACTGGGCGCTGGTATCACAGTGTCGTCACGTGCTGCAGCTTAACCCGTTATGCCATCAGTGCTTGTCCCAGTCTTTATTTCTCTGCCTGCCATGCCACCATGCGCATCCCCTGGCTTCTGTCCTTTTTTTTTTTAAGACTTAACTCCTTATTTAGCTGTTCTGAACCTTGCTTTCTGCATTTTAAAAATGGTAATAATATGGGAGACCAGTTGAGTCTGAAGCTGGAGGCATGGGGGCTTGATTCTCTCAGTTGTGTGGTGACTGCTGGGGGTACCCAGGCAGAGCCAGACTCAATGCATGGGATCCTAGCTCTGGCCACTGGCAATACACTCTGGGATTTTCCAGTTGTGGTCTTATAGGGAGTCTGAGTGATGGCACAGGTCTGGATCAGCAAGGACCTTAGGGTGCAGGTCCAGGTGAGGAATGACTGTTCTGGAACTTCCAAGGACAAGGCCACTCTACTTGAAGGGCTACAACATGGAACCCACCAGAGTGTCAGAAAAGGGAACAGGTACTGTGAGGCTGTGCCATGGAGTCGACAAATACATGAGTGAATCAGGTCTTGGGTAGAATCTGCAGGACAATATGTGGGCTTACCCATGTGGAACAGCAATTCTGTTGGCACATGCAAATACTGTGGCTGGGAATAGGCCTGGTTGGGGAGCTAAAGGATGCCCCGGCTGGGCTGGAATTCCCTTTGGTGAATGCGAGTGCCAGAATTGGTGCATTGTCCTGAGCTGAACATGGCTTTAGTCTTCCTTGACACTGGTGTGGCCTGGGTCTGGGGAGGGCCAGACTGGACTAGACTCCAGCACCCACTGGTACTCTTGAGAGTCAGGGTGGGTGTGGAACAGGTTGGGCTAGGTCTCAGCTCTTGCTGAACCTTGTGAGAGCTGTGTCTGGGTACAGACCAGGTGTGAATGGACTGCAGCACCCAACAGTAAGAACCGGAAAGGGTATGGGCCAGTTGGGCAAGGGTACCTTCCCTGCTAAAACAACAGGTGGACCTAGTCAACCTGGGCCAGGGACTCATTGGTGTGCACAAGAGCTGCCACTGGGAGGAGACCAGATAGAGGAGTTTGGTGAACTCCTTTGTTAGGTTGCAGTCCCTGCCAGTAAGTGCAAGAACCAAGGCAAGGAGCAGAACAAACCAGACCTGATTACAGTACCCGCTGGCATACATGTGGGTCAGGTCAGGGAGTGGGCCAGGCTGGGCCACTTCATAACATCCACTGGCAGATCCGAGAACTAGGGTGGGATGCAGGAGGGGCTGAGTTGGGCTGCACCATCAACCAGTTCACACTTGAGCCAGGAATGGGGACTGACTTTGCAGCTGAATTACCCACTGGTGGATGCTGAGGAAAGATGAGCTGTGTCAGTCTGGAGGTGGTGGGTGTCAGGTCTGTGAGCCCCAGGGGATGGGGGCCCGGAGGGCCCAGGGTCTCCAGGCCCAGGTTCCAAGGCACACCTATATGGTGGATGTCGAGTCCATGAGCCCTGGGGGGGGTGGGGTTCCAGCTTGGTTTTAGGTCTCCTGGTTCAGGTTCCAGGACCCACCTGTGTAGTGGGTGTCAGGTCGGTGAGCCCCAAGGGTGGGGGGATCTGGTGGGTCCTAAGTTGCATGGCCTGGGGCCTTGGGTCCACCTATGTGGTGGGTGCTAGACCCATAAACCTCTGGGGTGGGAGGTCTGGAGGGCCTTGGGTCTTCTGGCCCAGGTCCTAGGTCCCACCTATGTAGTGGGTGTTGGGTCTATGAGCCCCATGGATGGGGAGTCTGGAGAGATCTGGGTCTCCTAGCCTAGGTCACTGAACCCACCTATGTAGTGGGGTTGGATCCGTGAGCCCCAGGTGTTGGGGTTCCAAAAGGACCTGGGTCTCCTGGCCCAGGTCCTTGGGCCCACCTGTGAGGTATCGATGCGAGATCCCTGAGCCCCAGGGGTGGGCGGGCCTGGAGGGGCCTGGGTCTACTGGTCCAGGTCACCAATTCTACCTGAGTGGTGGGGCTGGTTCTGTGAACCCCTGGGGTATAGGGTCCTGGGGCCATGGGCCCATGATCCCACCTGTTCAGTGGGTGCTGGATCTATGAGCCCTAGGGTGGGGAGTTCTGGCATGTGGGCCCAGGTTGCCTGGCTCAGGTCCATGAGGCCATCTAGGAGAATTGGCCCTCCTCAATGTAGAGGATGGAGTGCTGGATGGCATACCTTGAAGCACATGGAGGAAATGGTAGCTCATTGGGGCCTGCAGACGGCATCTGATATATAGAGAATGGAGAACAGAATATATGCATAGCTACCCCAGCCAAATGATGACATCAAATATCTGGGTGATTGGAGACTGTAAGATCGTTGTGTCAGCTAATGGACATTGGAAGGGATTCCTCAACCATAGATTGGCAAGGTCAATAGTATTTCAAAACTATTGCATCCGCCTGGGTAGAACCTTTGGAACATGTGCTATTGTGACTCTGGGTTGATATTGGGTGGCCCTTCCCCATCCTCGGGTACAGGGATGGTTGGGAGGCCGGGTATTACCTATTCCCCTGTTTTCCTCCCCCCAGAAGTAGGAAGAAGAAATAGAAAGCTTGGAAACAATGATCAACACCCACTTCTGTATCCCTAGATCCTTCCCACTCTGATCAACTATGTAAATGTCATCTAAAATGAAAGAGAAACTTCAAAAACAAAAAACAAAACAAAAATGGTAATAAGAAATATCCAAGGGCTCTTGTGGCTGGTGCAGTGGCTCAACAGGCTAACCCTTTGCCTTGTGATGCCAACATCTCCTATATGGGCGCTGGATTGTGTCCTGGCTGCTCCAGTTTGGATTCAGCCTCCTGTGCATGTCCTGGGAAAGCATTGGAGGATAGCTCAAGTGTTTGGAACCCTGTATCCATGTGGGAGACCCAGAAGAGGCTCCTGGCTTCGGATCAACTTAGCTCTAGACATTGTGGCAATTTGGGGAATGAATCATCAGATGGAAGAGCTGTCTGTCTCCTATCTGTGAATCTGCCTTTTGATAAATAAATCTTAAAAAAAAACCAGTAGTGAGAATTAAGAGGAATTATATGTATGAAGTGCCTTATACTGTATTAAGGATTTAGTTATTGATACGATGAATAGTAAGTAATATAAAGTAATACACATCCCTTGTAGTTTAATTTTATACTGTCACTGGGAAAAAATTTAATTTAGCAGGTTTATTCTCTCAATTGTAATTACATTTACTAAGAGGCACCCACTCTTTTTTTTTTAAACCCTTACATCTCACTATTTAATTATGAATTGAAAGTTAATATTTATTAGACTGGTGGTTTGGAGCTAATTGTAAATCAGAGTGCTGTGAGGTGAACCATGGAAGATTTTTTCCTAGCTTTTTTGGAGGCTGTTTTGTCACAGTAAGACACATTTCTATTGAAACCCATTGTTCACATATACACATACATGCACACAAAACAAATAATAGTTTTGTGAAATGACACCTTTGCTAAATGTGATACAATTTGATATTTTTTGTTCTGTTCTCATTCACTCGAATTTCTAGTTGTGGCATATTTTATGGGTGATTATCTATGCTTTAAAAACACTGGTGTAAAATAATAAGATTGAGTAATGGAATTGAACTGATAATGAGGAAATTCCCAGTTTCCCTAGTTGTTGGTGATGTGATTTTTGGGCATGTTAATTTCTGCTGCTTGTATTCTAGTGACTTTGAAATATGGTATCTCATTCAGTGAGTTTTTGAAAGGATTACATAATATGTTCTGTTATTGTATTGCAAGGTATCTGGTATTCACTGACTGAACAATTACTGTTTTCGAAAGGCTGTTATCTTTTATTATGTTATTTGAGAAGTAGAGACAGAGAAAGATCTTTCATCTGCTGTTTCATTTCCCAAAGTCATGCAGTAACTGGACCTCGGTGAGGCTGAAGCTAAGAGCCTTGAGCTCGGCAAGGGTCTCACGGGGGCGGGAGGGAGCCGAGTACTTGGGCCTTCACCTGATGTTTCTTGGTGTACAGGTGGGTGCACTAACAGAGGAACTAGCCCCCAGTCTTGTATTCTAATATGGGATGCAGTTGTCCCAGATGACATCCTAAGCCAGACCTCCTCTGAATAATTAGGTTTGAACATCCCAGCGTACTACCACTCCTGCTGGGCTGAGTGCCCCAGTGTGGTACGACTCCCGTTGTACTGAAAATAAAGGGATGGAGGCAAGTGTTGGACAGAGTGGTTGAGATAGTACTCAGGGTGTTTGCATCCCATATAGAGAGTACTTGGTTTGAGTTCCAGATCCTCTGCTGCCATTGTTAATATGCGTCCTGAGAGGCAGCAGGGGATGCCCAACTACTTGTGTCCCTGGGACCCACCTGAGAAACATGGATTGACTTCTAGACTCCTGGCTTTGGCCTTTACCGGACCTAATTGTTACAGGCATTTGGGAGCGTGAATAGGCAGGTGGGTGTCTCTATGTTTGTGCCTTTCCAATAAAATGAAAACAATTTTTAAAAGAGAACCAAAAAAGAAAGTAGTGGAGGAAATAGACAAATGCTTGCCCTCCTTGGGTATATCCTGGAGCAGAGACCAACATGTTGTTTTATTGTTTGTAACAGCCTTTGTTACCGCCTGGGCCTTTAGAAATGACTCCTGAAAATCGAGAGGACAGCAATGGACTATTCAAAGAATTTCTGCTGACATGGGCAGAAATGGACAAGGTATCATTTAAGAGGGCTTACGGCTCTTAAATCATCTGTGAGGGTTGCACACACACACACACACACACACACGCACGCACTAACTTGGTCTCTTTCAATGTTTCAGTCCAGTAGTAAGAACAACGAGAAGACATTATCTGGCATTAAAAGGTAAGCTAAAATTCTTGTACTGTTTTATACTTTTTGAAATATATGAATTTAATATTCTTTGAGATTTTTGTTACAAAATTACAAACTAATTCAGGAAATCCTGAAAGTGAGGTGGAATGATTACCCATAATGTCTACTTTCTAACAGCTGTTTTTGTTGTGTATGTTTCAAGTATTACCATGTGCACTGCTACTGGGATGTAACCTTCATTAGGCCCTGGTTGTTGTCTCAATAATTGAAGCAGTGCCTGGCACACAGTGTATATTTGTTCAGTGTTGAAAAATGAGTGAATTAAAGATACTTTTACTTTGTTGTGTTTTTATGTTCTGCATTGTGCTTTTTTCCTTGGTGGTTGCATGTTCTCATGTTGTGCCCAGATTTTGCAATCCCCAGAAAATCATCAGGAGTCATAAGTTGATGCAAAGGCATAAAGGTGGTTTATTCAGACTAGGCTCCCAGCTACTGCCCCAGCCTACCACCCAGAGCTGCCACCACACCAGCCCATCCCGGCAGGCTGCAGCAGTAGAAACAACAGGGACAGAAAAAAAAACAAGATTGAACAGCACAGGGTTCTTATACATTTCAGGCCAATTCCATATAATTATACAGTCATGATTCGTCAGTTTAACTGTTACCTTTTTTTTTTTTTTTAAAGATTTATTTTATTTTCATTACAAAGTCAGATATACAGAGAGGAGGAGAGACAGAGAGGAAGATCTTTCTTCCGGTGATTCACCCCGCAAGTGACCGCAAGGCCAGTGCTGTGCCGATCTGAAGCCAGGAACTTCCTCCAGGTCTCCCATGAGGGTGCAGGGTCCCAAGGCTTTGGGCTGTCTTCAACTGTTTTCCCAGGCCACAAGCAGGGAGCTGGATGGGAAGTGGATATGCTGAGATTAGAACCGGCGTCCATATGGGATCCTGGCACGTTAAAGTCATGGACTTTAGCCACTAGGCCATGTCGCTGGGCCCTAACTGTTACCTTTTTTAAAAAAGAACAAGTTGGGGCTCGGCGCGGTGGCGCAAGTGGTTAAGTTCCTTGCCTTGCACACCCGGGATCCCATATGGGCACCGGTTCTATCCCGGCAGCCCTGCTTCCCTTCCAGCTCCCTGCCTGTGGCCCGGGAAAGCAGTCGAGGACGGCCCAAAGCTTTAGGACCCTACACCCATGTGGGAGACCCAGAAGAGGCTCCTGGCTTCAGATTGGCATAGCATCGACCGTTGTGCTCACTTGGGGAGTGAATCATCGGACGGAAGATCTTCCTCTCTGTCTCTCCTCTCTGTATATCCGCCTTTCCAATAAAAAAATAATAAAAATAAATCTTTAAAAAAAAAAAAGAACAAGTTGGCAGGCTTCTATTGGTGGGTTTGAAGCAAACAAATTTCAAAAAGTACAAACTGACGGGCTATAGGGCAGTGGGTCTTATCTAACCCCAGGGGCCTCCTTCCTGAGGAGTGCTCTGCTCACGGGACCTGCCAGGTGTCCTGCCGGGGGTCACGTAGACATCAGGCCTGGAGTTCACACAGCCCCTAGCCAAGCAAGTAAGGCAGAAATCACAAAAGCAGAAAACACTTAGATTCTTCACTAGCATCTTTAAAATTACTGAATAATTTTATAGTATTCCATTGAGTGGTAGGGTTCACTTAGCTTTCTCCAATGTGTTTGCCAAACTGAAACCTATATGGGACCCTGACACAAACAAGGTGGGGATTTAGCCACTAGGCTATTGCATTGGGCCCTTAAGGTTGTTGTCTATATAGTTGTGGGGTGTGTGTGTGCACATATGCACACATATGTACAAATGGCTTTGCGTGTGTATGTTTGTGTAGTTTCTTAGGATAGAGTCTGAGAAGTGGGATTAATATGTCAAATACAGTTTTTGTGGCTGAGTTTTCCAAATTTTTTCTTTTGAAGACCTTACATAAACGTGCTGTGTCCCTAGCATTCTATGAGTTTAACTATAGCTAACTAGTTTTGGGGGTTGTAAGATTATCAAGGCTGGTGCCAGGGTATAGCATGCTGGGCCTCTGCTTGTGGTGCCAACATCCTATATGGATGCCAGTTTGAGTCCTGGCTGCTCCACTTCCCATCCAGCTCCATGCTAATGCATCTGGGAAAGCAGGGAAAGATGGCTTAAGTTCTTGGGTTTCTGCACCCACGTGGGAGACCTGGAGGTAGTTCCTGGCTTTGGATCAGCTCAATTTCAGCCCTTGCAGCCTTTTGGGGAATGGGCCAGTGGATGAAAGATCTCTCTTTCTCCATAAATCTGTCTTTCCAATAAAAAGAAAGAAATCTTAAAAAACATATTTTCAGGTGTGATCTTATGATTGAAAAATACTGCCTTGCTGTTGTATGAGAAGACGTTAGCCTAAGGCTGCGGTAATGGAACTGCTTATTGTGTTGGGAGTGTTGCTGCTGCCGCTTCTTTCCGGTGTTGGTAGAATACAACCATTTTTATTTCCATGCCATAGTTAAGAGTCCGTCTTGTGAAAGGGAATTGGTAGCTCCTGATGAATTATTTCTAAGAACTTTCTGTCCACCAACTCAAGTGCAACTTGATGAATTTCACTTTGGATTATTTCCTCGATCTCTGTGGAGCTGTAGTACAGGCTTTCTGTAATAGAGTTGTTTTTCGTTCCTGGTTTACCTATATACCAAGAAATCGATTGTTTTCTGCTGATTTCCACTTGCAGTGTGTGGTTCCCCGCAGCTGTTCCATACCTGATGACACTCGAAACAGTATTTCTGCTGAGCACTGGTTCTTGACACACTATACAAACTGTGCAATATGTGGCTGTGCTCACTTCAGAGACACCTGCACAATGCCTTAGAAGCCACAAAATCGCCTTCTTCAGAGACCTTTAAATCTACTGCTCCATCGTTGTAGTCTAGAATTTATGCCCTTAGACACTAATCAGCAACATAAATTAATCCACCTTCCTGATAGGATGTGATATTCTGTTTTCATATATTTTATGTTTTAAATTCATTTTAATCTTGTAAACCTTTTTAGGATACCATTGAGGTGGCATCGATAACTTTAGCATCCTGTGGATGCACAAATCTATCAATTAAATGACATACTGAAGAAGATACTACCTCATTTGGTTTCTGTGGTTACTAGGAAGTTAAATGTTTTCCCACATATATTTACTAATTATGATTTTTATTTTTAAATATTTTGCTTATTTTGGTTGTTGGAATTGATCTTAATTTTTAGTTAATGTTTTAATTTTCTCAGCTATAAAGCCTACTTAAACGGCATGGCCATTAATGAAGATACTGTTTGTAAAGTTACCCAAGGCGCAGTGTGCTCCATGGCTTTTCACCCATCAGAAACTAGAATTTTGGTGGCGGCTGGGGCCAAATCTGGGCAAGTTGGACTTTGGGATTTGGTAAGTTATTGTTTTTTTTTTTTTTTATTAAGGTTTGACCGAAGCAAATAATCCGGAAGAGAATAGCCCACAGGCATTTATTTATAAATGTTGCTTGTGATTTGTATTTGTACTTTATGATGTGAAATTTTAGAAATCTGGAGGAATTTGTTTTATAGAACTTGAGCATTTTTAGTCTGAATATCATTAGCCATCTGGGTACAAATTAACTGCCAGGAAACTTTTAAGTGTATATGTGGAAAGATCACAAAGTTCTTAGTTTTCAAATTGTGATTAAAATGTGGCCTACTAAAATATGGAGGTGTTTAATTCTACTACCCTTTTATCTAATGTCGTAAGCCCCAAGGTTTTGGTGTTGGAATCCTTTGAGAGTGATCAGGTCATGAGTGGGATTAGTACCCTTAGAACAGAAGCCCGAGGGAGACCCTCTTCCTCATTTTGCTGTGTGAGGATGTAGCTTAAAGGCACTGTCTGTGAATTGGAAAGGAATCTCTCTCCACTCAGTGGGCTAGAATCTTGATTTTGCACTTCGCCAAAACCAGAACTGTGAGAATTAAATTTTTGCTGCTTACAAGCCATTCACCTGTTAGAATAGCCTGAATGGATTGTCCCTAGGCTAATCCAGTCTCCTAGCTGCATCAATGAATCTTCCTGAAATTTGCTTAGGATAATCCCAGTCATTTTATTTAAATATTTTAAAGATACTAGATTTTTTTTGCAAGTTTTTATTTATTTGAAAGGCAGTTAGAGGGAGAGATGTATCTTCCATCTGCTGGTTCACTCCCCAAATGGCTCGGGTAAGTCCAGACTGAACAGTATGGAATGTTGGTGTTACAGATAGTAGCTTTACTTGCTATACCACAAGACTAGGCTCTTTGGAAAAAAAAAAATTAACTTATTTGAAAGGTAGGGTTAGAGAGGCAGAAGAGGAGGAGAGAGATCTTTGCATCTGCTGGTTCACTCTCCAAATGACTAGAGTAGGGCCAGTAGCTAGAGCTGGGCCAAGTCAAAGCCAGCCTTATCTGGGTCTTGCACATAGATGCAGAGGCCTGAGTGCTTAGGCATTCCCCAGCAGAGAGGTCGGTAGAAAGTGGGGCAGCAGGGTCTTGAACCAGTGCTCAAATGGGATGCTGACATAATCATAGTGGCTTTACCCGCTGTGCCACACCAGCCTTAGAGAGAGATTGAGTACCCATGTACTGGCTCATTTCCCAAATGCTCACAGCACCCACCCAGATTTGGGAACTTAGTCTGGATCTTCAGATGGGTAGCAGGGACTTATCCACTTGAACTCTGACTTGCTGCTTTCCAGGGTGCTTGCTGCTCTTTTCAGCAAGAAGCTGAATTGGGAGTGGAGCCAGGACTCAGAACCTGGCACTCTGCTGGGGGATGCAGTGTCCCAAGTAGCAGCTTCACAGCTATGCCAGACATCCACCGTGTGATTATCCACTGAATGCCACCCATTCTACATATGATTTTATATTAAAGTAATTGTAGTAATACAAAATGAAGAAAAACCAAGTTAGTACTTTCTGAATTATAATTGGAGAAGTAGAACAAAGACATGAAAAATGCTGTATGGGCAATTAATGGAATGAAGAAACAATGATGACTTGAAGCAAATTGGTGTTAGTAAATTTGGCAACTAGGAAGAGATAAAAACCAAATTCTATTTTAGGAACACTGATATGAGTAAAAAGTGAGTGGAGGTAGGGGCTTGCAAGGAAAACAAATAGAGAAGTGGAGAAGTGGATTAGAATAGATTCAGGTTAAAAGGTAAGAGATAAGTGTGTTTTTTAAGATTTATGTATTTTTATTGGGAAGTCTGATTTACAGAGAGGAGGAAAGACATAAATATCTTTCATCCACTTGTTCACTCCCCAAGTGGCTACAACGGCCCGAGTTGAGTTGATCCAAAGTCAGGAGACTCTTGCATGTCTTCCAAGTTGGATTGAGGGTCTCAAGTCTTTGGGCCATCCTGTACTGATTTCCCAGGCCACAAGAAAAACTGGATGGGAAGTTGAGGAGCTGGGATGTGAACTGGTGCCCATATGGGATCCTTGCACTTGCAAGGCGAGGATTTATACACTGAGCCATCATGCCAAGCTCAAGAGATAAGTTTCTTTTCTTTTCTTTTTTTTTTGAGGATTTATTATTTTTATTGGAAAGGCAGATGACATGAACTTGCATCTGTACGGGATGTTGGTGCTGCAGAGCAAAATTTAGTCTGCTATGTTTCAGCCCCAATACAAAGAAATTTTTATTTTTGTTTATTTTTTAATTTGAAAGGTAGATTTACAAAGAAGAGAGAGAGGAAGATCTTCTATCCTCTAGTTCATTGCCTAAATGGCTACAATGGATGGAGTGTTGCCGATTTGAAGCCAAAAGTTTCTTCCAGGTTTCTCACCTGATAGCAGGGGCCCAGGGATGCGAATCATCTTGTGCTTTCTTTCTAGGCCATGACCAATGAGCTGTATTGTTAGTGGAGTAGCTGGGACACACCAGTGCCCATGTGGGATGCAGGGCTGCAGGTGGAAGATTAGACTGTTGAGCTGCCACACCAGCCCAATGCAGAGATTTTACTAACTTACTTACATTAAAAAGTCAGATTTACAGAGAGAAGGAGAGACAGAGAAGATCTTCTGTCTGCTGACTCACTCTCTAAGTGGCTGCACTGGCTGGAGCAGAGCTGATCTGAAGTCAGGAGTCAGGAGCTTATTCTGGGTCTCCCACATGGGTGCAGGGTCCCAAGGCTTTGGGCCTTTGCTGCTTTTCCAAACACAAGGAGGGAGCTGGAAGGGAAATGGAGCAGCTGGGACACGAACCTGTGCCCATATGGGATCCTGGTGCATGCAAGGCAAGGACTCTAGTCCCTATGCTACCGTGTTAGACTCAATACAAAGATTTTTAAAAATGAGAATGGAGTAAAGGAAATTAGTTTTGAAAATAGAAGACCATTTGGGGTTGACACTATAGCTCAACTGACCAATCCTCTGCCTTCAAGCACCGGCATCCCGTATGGGTGGTGGTTCAAGTCTTGGCTGCTCCACTTCCCATGCAGCTCCCTGCTGTGGCCTGGGTAAACAGAGGAAGATGGGCTAAAGCTGTGGGAGTCCCTGAAGCAGCTTCTGGCTCCTGGGTTTGGAGCAGCTCAACTCTGAGTGTTGCAGCTATTTGGGGAGTGAATCGAATATCTGTGTCTCCTTTTCTTTGTATGTCTGCCTTTCCAATAAAAGCCAATAAATTTAAAAAAAGAAAAAAAAACACCTTAGTGAGTTGAGAGAATAGTTGTTGAGGTAAGAAAGGGACAGACTTAAAGAAATTAGAGAGTGTATGAGGAGATGGAAGGAGTGGAATCTGTATTTCTACTTGTTCAAGAACTTTGACAAGAAATTGAGATTTAGAATAGTGAAGTGCAGAGCTTTTAAGTTGGGTTGATCTGCATATATGCAAAGGTGTAGAGAAATTCTTTTTCCATATTTTTCCTGGGGGCTTCAAAAACATGTCTCTATTATTGTCTTTATTCTGGTTTCTTCATCGGTCTAATTTTCTAGGCCAGTTAACCATCACATTAACAGATACAGCAGGTGTAAAATCAATATCTTACCTTTTGTATGCTAACCCCAAACTCCTACATTTATTTTTTTAAAGACTTGTTTTTATTCATTTGAACAACAGTGTGACAGGAAGAGAGACAAAAGAGAAAGAGATCTTCTGTCTTCTCTCTGTGCTCCAGGAGGCCACAGTGGCTGCCGTTGGGCTTGGGTGAAGCCAGAATCTTGGAATTCCATCTGGGTCTCTCACATGGGTGGCAGGGTCCATCTTCTGCTTTTCCCTGTTCATTAGCAGGGAGCTAGATGAGCAGCCGGGATCCAACCTGTAGTCTAATACAGGATCTTGGCCAAGTGTGCCAGAGCGCTGATCCCTCCTCCATTTTTTTTTTTTTAATTGGAAAGTCAGATTCACAGAGGGAGGGAGAGAGCGCGCGAGGGAAGGATCTTCCATCTAAGGGTTCACTCCCCAAGGGGCTGTAGCTGAGCCGATCTAAAGCCTTGATTCTCGAGCCTCCTCCAGGTCTCTCATGTGGGTGCAGGGTCCCAAGGCTTTGGACCATCCTCCTCCGCTCTGCCAGGCCACAGGCAGGGAGCTGGATGGGAAGTGGAGTAGCTGGGATACAAACCTGCACCAACATGTGATCCTGGTGCATGCAAGGCAAGGACTTTAGCCACTAAGCTATTACGCTGGACCCCAGGTTTTTTTTTTTTTAACTTTTTTAAAGGGATAATCTGTATTTAATGAAACTACGCATTTTTAATGTACACATCAGGAATTTTTTTAAAAAACAGATTTACTAACTTATTTATCTGGATGTCAGAGGGAGACACAGATTTCCGATGTTGGTTCATTCTCTAAATGTTCTCAATAGCTAGGGCTGGACCAGCTATCCCTATCCAGGTCTCCCACTCGGACCATCCCACTGCTTTCCTAGGTGAGTTAATAGGAAGCTGGATTGGAAACAGAGCCACCAGGACTCCAAGCAGCACTCTAGTAGAGGATGCCAGTGTTGTGAGGCGAGGCTTAACCTGTACTATATCATGGCCTTCAATACAGTGTTTTTGAAAATTATTTTAAAGAAAGGCTGCAACGATTGGAGCTGAGTCGGTTGGAACCCAGGAGCCAGGAGCTTCTTGCTTCTTCTGGGTCTCCTGCAGGGTTGCAGGGACTACGCTTCCATTGCTTCCCCAGGTGTGTTAGCAGGGAGTAGGGTGGGAAGTGGAGCAGCTGGGACTTGAACTGGTGTAGATATGGGATTCTAGTGTTGCAGCTTTATCAGCTACACCCACAGCACTGGCCCTGAATACAATGATTTTTAATAAGTGTACTGAGTTATGTAATTATTACAATCTAGTTTTAGAGTGTTTTCATCATCTCTATGAGATCCTTATATCTATTTACAGTTCATTCCTCTTTCTACCCACAGCCTTAGAATAATGTTCATA